AAAACTTGTTTATTATGACCTGTTGGAAAATCACAGAGACAAGCTATGTAGAATTTATACCTTAAGCAAAACTTAGTAGAAGGTAGGTTAAAGATTGAAAAATGCAAGAGGAATAAGCTAATTGGTTTATAAGTGAATTATAAAAAGCTTAGAAGTTGCTGAGTGTATAAAAAAGTCTCTTAAGTAGGCCAGATTCTCTTAAGATTTTCTTGATTAATGATCTCTTGAAACCAACCATGATGACTAAATTTTATAATGGGAATAAACAAATGCTGCAAAGCAGAACTGCATTCATTAGTTTTTGACTATACAGGCTTAAGAAAGTAATGGAGAGGTTAATATAGATTAAATATAAAACTTTTCATGTGTATGGCCATTACATTGTAGATGGCACACATACTTTCTTTTTTTTTTTTTTTGTTTTCTTGGAGTTCTGGGGATTAAACTCAGGGTCTTGCACATGCTAGGCAAGTGTTCTACCACTGCACTACCAGCCCTTTTCATATTTTCAGATAACTAGTCAGTGTCTAAATTTCCCTGCTTGTCTCACAATTCTTTTTCAGTGTATTTGTTGGAATATAATATCCAAATAATACCTATATAGTGTAATCAGTTGATATTTCTTAAGTATCTTTTGATATGTTTGCTCCCTTTCAAAATACTTACAGAAGAAATTGGGTTGTCAAGTTTTCAGTCTGGATTTTGCTCACCTCACCCCCACGTTTTGCATATATCTTCTATAATAAGTAGTTAGATTTAAAGGCTTGATTAGATTTTGTTGTTTTGGCAAGAGTACCTAATAGGTAGTAGTTATTTCGATCAAGAAGCATGTACCTGGTTGTCTCTTTTTTATGGTGAAAGCCCACTTGATAATCATTGCCTGAATTTGTCATTCAATATAGGTTACAAATCATTATGCTCTAATTCTGAATAACTTTCTGCATTTATTAACTGGTATATTTCTATAAATTCATTATCCTCTCATAATAATTACAGTTGACTCTTGAACAACATGGATTTGAATCATGTGGGTGCATTTACAAGTGGATTTTTTTTTTTTTGAGATTTGTGACAATTTGAGAAAACTTAAACTTTGTGGCCTAGTAATATTGAAACATTTTAGAAAAAGTTAAATATGTCATGAGTGCACAAACATTTATGTAGATAAGTCTACTTTACCATTTACTACCTTAAAACACACAAATCTATTTATAAAAAGTTAAAATTTTGTCAAAACTTACACAGATTTTTCATGGTGCCATTCACAGTTGTGAGAAATGCAAACAAATGTAAAGATAGAGTATTCAATCATAAATTCATAAAATGAACTAGTACATACTCCACTGTAAAAATTCTGTAGCCATCTCCTGTTGCTATTGCAGTGAGTTCAAGTGCTTCTACTTAAAACACTCTGTGACACTAATCACCTTCTCGTGAGCAGTTGCCTCTTCAGTAAATTGCCTGTCACAATAAAAAGTACTCTCTTGTGGTACTCCCTTTTTTTTTATCATCTATAATACATGCAACATACAAAATATGTTCTAGTTAACTGTATTATTAGTAAGACTTCTGGCAAATAGTTGAGTTTTAGAGGAGTCAAAAAGTACAGATTTGGGTAGGGAAGAATACTATTGTAATCTTTTAAGAGTCAAATGTATTTGGTTACCCTGAAGGACAACTCTTACAAGAATAGGCAGGATAAATGCTAGATTCTTTTCCTTTATTTAGCAGTTTTCAAAATAATGAACTGGCAATCTATCATCCTCCAAAGATCACTGATGGGTTTTTGTTAGTTTTGTTGTACCAGGGGTTTAACTTGGCCTCACACTTGTTAGGCAGGTGCTCTACCACTTGAACAACTCCACCAACCCTTTTTGCATTGGGTATTTTTAAGATAGAGTCTTGTATACCCATGCCCTGGATGGCACTTCTATTTGTGCTTCCCTGCTGTAGCTGATCCCAGACAGGTATGCACCACCTCACCCAGCCATTGGTTAAATAGAGTCTCTCAAGCTTTTTGCCCAGGATGGCCTTGAAATGGGATCCTTCCTATCACCTCCCAAGTAGCTAGGAAAGTTTCTTTTTAAAAATTATTATAAATACATTGGTTTATATGCATTTGAAGTTGTAAGTATTTTTCTGGGTTTATTTTTGTTGATGCTCACATTATCCTGTCTTTTCTAGGAAATTCTGCTGGTTCATTCTTGAGTCTTTGACATGATTCAATGAGAATTCATTTGATAATTTTCTTATTTTATGCCATGACAGCGTACCTATATAATACCTTTTTGTCTAAGATCTGTAAGACCTGCAATCTGCCTCCCTCCCTCCTTCCTTCCCTTGGACTTGGGCTTGCTAGGCAAGCACTCTTAACACTTAAGCCATGTCCCCAGGCCTTTTTGCTTTAGTTTGTTTATGATAGAGTCTCACTGACCTTACTGGGCTAGCCTCGAACCATAATCCTCCTTATCTCTGCCTCCTGAGTTGCTGGGATTATAGAAGTACACCACCATGCCCAGTAGTTTTTACTTCTTCATTCTTACATTTCTCCTTTTGAACAGTCTAAAAATTGTGGTTCCTAACAACACCAACATAATCCTCATTTGTTTTGTCACACAATATACATAAATTACTCAGAATTAGCAATGTGTGCTGGAGGTGTGGCTCAAGCAGTGGAGCGCCTCATAGCAAGCTTTTATTCCCTAGGGGGAATAAAAGTACAGCAACAGTATGCTATATATATATTTTTTTGGCGGTATGGAGTTTGAACTCAGGGCTTCATTCTTGCTAGGCAGGTGCTCTACCGCTTTTGCTACTCCCTCAGCCCTGCCTTTGGTTTGTAAATGTTGATTTTTTTTAATGTAATGATGTTTTATAACTATGTTAAACTATGGTTTAATTATGTTAAACAATGACATGGTTCCAAAGTCAAATTTATAAACAAAGGATATTTAGAGAAATTTTGCATCAATCCTGGTCCCCTTCCTTCTCCATCCTATCTCCTGACATAAATCACTATTCTAAAAAAGTTTTAGTTTATATCTATTTGTCCATCTGTCTGTCTGCCCCATCTTGGATGAGCATTAGCACACTGTTCGTGCTTTTCTCCACCTTACTATATTCACTTTACAGGATACCCGGGTTATTGTACCATGCTCTTAACAGCATGTAGTATCAAAGATACCACCCTAAGAGGGCAAAAATTGGCTTTCAAAAGGTGAAAAAAAATGATATTATAGTGGTTGTGGCCCTCCAAAGAGCCATAGTACATAAATAATATATATATATCTGATATTAAAATTTCAAGCAGGTGTGGTTGTGATAAAGAATAAAAATTGAGAAACTTTTCTGTTGCAATATACAGGTATTTCTCAATTCTTTTAGAAGCATATAGTATTTAAGAATGTATTATGATTTATTCAACTAGATCCCTACTGATCAACATTTGAGTTGTTTCCATTCCCTTATAATTTCTAGTAGTACTATGTGTTCTTTTGTATTTTTGCCACTGCATCTTTGAGTCAAAGAAGTAGGATTCCTCTGTCAAAGGGCAATTGCCCATGTAATTTTGCTAGATACAACCACATTGCTCTCATGGCAGTGTTTTAGTTTGTACTGGTGGATTTGTTCTGAATTAGTTTATTATGAAATGTTGGTTCCATTTATGAGAAACTTTTTAATCTTCCAATTAACTATAAGAAATACATTTTTCTTATTACAAAATACAAGCTTATCTGTTATTTCACTTAATCAGATTTGCTTCAAAGTTATCACTACCTCTGCGTACCATATCTTGCTTACAAAAGAAGAACTGTGCATCTGCTTAAAAGGTCAAGTGGTTTTAATTAATTAAAAAAATAGTACTACACTCCATCTTCCTCTTCAAAAGACAACTGTTAATATTAAGGGCTTTTAAAAGTAAATGTAGCATATATATTTTAAAGCTTGTTTTAATTTATATTTAATATAAAAGTTAAAATATTTTTAAATTTTTATTTTATGTAGCTCTGTCATCTATCTATCTATCTATCTGTCTATCTGTCTATTTATCTATCTATCATCTATCAGTCACTTGAGACAGAGTCTCATGCCATAGCCCAGACTGGCCTCAAGCTCATGATCCTCCTGCCTCAGCCTCTTGATCTGGGATTTTGGGGTACACTATCACAACAGCTAGGGCTATTTTATTTATTTATTTTTGTGTTGCTGGGACTCAAACCATGGCCTTATGCATGCTAAGTTTGTGCTCTACTGACTATTCAAAGCCCAAGATAGAGCTTTAAATTTAAAAAAAAATTTTAACTGATACATAAAAGCATGAAAATTATACTACTTTAAAATTACTTTTTCCTGTGAGGTAGAAGTAGGTTTTTTGTTTTTGTTTTTTTGCTTATTTACATTTTGAACTACTTTGGACCAACTATGTTATCTAAGTTTCTTTAGCTCATTATTTTTATGAAGCTATTAGGTATATGGCAAAAATCCCTTTGTATATGAAGGTACTTCCTTATGTTTTTACTCACGTGTTCTAGTGACTTTCAGCTTAATGATCTGAGGAGGTACAGTAACAAACCGATCATGACAGAGATTGAATTGAGTCAATTTGTACTTGTGGTCCTGGCACATAGTGGGCACTTGAATTTGTTGTAAAAATGAGTGGTTGGGGAGCTACCACCATTCCTAGTCAGTAAATAATTAATGAAGAAAAGAATTGGAATATCTGAATATTTTGTCTGTGAAAAGCAGTCATAAAGTTTACCAACATTTAATTGTTTAAAAGTTAAAGATTTTTAAAAATCAGGAAAAATAGAATTGTGGAGATGAAGTGCAATTATTGCAGTTATTTTGGCTTATTAAAGGTCTCCATTTTACTACACTACATTATATTATTGAATAGGTACTATTGGCTAGAAAAGTTTTGCTAATTAATTCACTTGAAAGTGGAGTGAATTTGTGGTTTTAAGTGAATATATGTAATATATGTATTTTTCCATTTGTAGGCACTTGGGATCACAGCTTTGCGAATTAGAAAAACTGATAGATAAAATGATGATTGCAGAATTTTCTACTTATTCCCACAGTGACTTAAATAGACCACTGGAAGATGATTGTCAAGTTTTAGAAGAGGTATGTTTCAAACTGTAGAATAAAATTGATGTTACTGCTTAGTGTTACTTCTTGACAGCCTTAATTTAAAACACATTCTTCTCCGATTAAAGTGAGCAAAGTTACCTCACATTACTGTCAGACCTAGGAAGTCCTTCAGTAGCCATGTGACTTTAACAAGCACTGTAAGTGTTCAGTATCCCATGAAATTGAAGAAAAATAATTTTATAGCTTACTTAGAAATTAGAGTTGAAAGAGGTTTTTGTCGCTTACAAACCAAGTTCAAAATAGAGATATAGAATGAATAAATTAGTTTATATTCCGTGTGTGTTACATTTACCAGAATTTATCACTTTTGTAAGAAGTGATTTTTACATGGTAATTATTTGAATGCAAATTCATCAAATACCTATTACGAATGTTTTATGTATGTGTATATATAAGCATATCTAGGTTTCACTTATCTGGTAACTTCTCAATGCTAATCATGGCCAAAACTAGTAAAAATATCCAAAGGTCTTGACTGATAATAGCCTTAGCAATTAGAGAGATGTACTCATTAGCGGTTGACTTCCCACTGAGGTCCAGGTTGTCATTTCAGTCTTTTAGACCACTAACTAAAAACACAGGCCTCACAGATTATTTATTGATTATCAGTGTTTCAGAACACTATTTTCTAACTATGGAAACTAGCCAAAAACTACCCTTTTATCCCAAGCCACCTTCATTTGATCCAGTACAGACTCTCAAATAGATTTACCTGTTTGAAATACTGAGTCCAAAAATCTGATGACAGGATTGCTGAGAGAGGCTTATTTCAGACTTTTAGAAATATTGAATGCAAGATAGAGATCTAAGGCTCAAAACCTTTCTACTGAGTATTTCCACCTCTAAGTGAGATTACTACAAATTTGAAATGTGAAATTATATGGTCTTCTTTTATTTTAATAGGAAAGACTAGTATCTCTTGTATTTGGACTTTTAAAACAAAGAAAACTTAATTTTTTAGAAATCTATGGTGAAGAAATGATTATTACAGCAAAGAATATCATTAAACAGGTAATTTTACATTTTTATTTGACATTTGAAATCTCTTGTGGTTTATTTCTGTGCCATTTAATAATAATATATGAAATGTGCAGCGTAATAGTAATGCTTGCTCATTTACTTAAAAATGGAAAATATGAAAAAATAGAAGAAAAATAGTCTTACCAGCTGAGATTATCACTTTAAGAATATTTCTGTATGTAGGTTGTTACTGGTTTTTTTTTTTCTGCTGCTGTCATAATGTACAAGTGATTTGGAGTGCATATTTCACTTAGAATCAGCATAAGCATTTTCTTATCATTATGCAAGACTTCAAAAACATCAGTTTTAATAAAGTTGTGTAAAACTCCATCAATATTACATTGACTAAACCTATTTAGCTTTTCCACTGTGTTGAATATTTAGTTTGTTTTAAATTTGACATGACAAATAACAATGTAATAGGCACTGTGTAGTTACTTTATTTTTCATATTTAAGACTATTTTCTTAAAAATAGTAGAATTCTTAGTAGAATTACTGGTCAGATAGTGAAAGGTATTTTTAAGTTGTTTAATACATAGAACTAAATTGCTGCCTAAAAAGATTTTTACCAGTTTATACTCCCACCAGCACTAAATAAATTTTCATTTTCTTTTCACTCTGAGCTCTAAGATATTAGAATTACAAACTAAAATCCATGTGCTTTTTGGTTTTTCCTGATTGTTAGTTTTTTTTTTTTTTTACTCAGAGAAATCTTATCCACTTGAATTTAGTTTTTCTATAGATGAAAAAGATAACATAATTTTAAATTTGTTTATTAGGCTTAGTTAAGCATCATCATTAGGTTGAACATACCCGTAAGTTTTTAATGTTTATGTAAAAATATTGCAATCTCTTTTACCGCTCTTAAACACTGATTAAAACACTATTTTAAAATTGGTGCAACCGTCTTGGAAAATTGTTGGCAATTAATGCTAAATATACACATGTTATGATTTGACATTTCTATTCTTAGGTATTCACCCAACAGAAATATTTAATGTAAGTTTACTAAAACACAGCAGAATGTTCATGGCACCACTGTTACAAAAAACTGGAAATATCCTAAATTTCATCATCTGTAGAAAGGATAAATAGAATTGTGGTATGTTTATACAATGGAATAATATGCAGGATGTCAATGATTATATTACTCAGAATATATTGCTGCACAAATGAATATTGCAAACCTAATGTGAAGCCAAAGAACACAGACACAAAGGAGTATACACTGCATGCTTCCACTTATGTAAAATTCAGACATAGGCAAAATTGATCTATAGTTTAGAAATCAAGATAGTAGTATTTTGATAGTACGAAGTAGTAACTGGGAAGGGAACAGGAGAGGAGCTTTGGCCGCTAGCACTGTTTAATTTCATGAGCTGAATTCTTTTTTTTGTTTGTTTGTTTGGTATTGGGGTTTGAACTCAGGGTCTCATACTTGCTGGACAGGTGCTCTACCACTTGAGCCACTGGGCCAGCCCCTTTTTGTGTTGAATATTTTCAACATACAGTCTTACAAACTATCTTCCTGTGACTGAACTGCAATCCTCCTGATCTCTGCTTCTGAGTAGCTAGGATTACAGGAGTGAGCCACTGGCACCTGGCTATGAGCTGAATTCTGATTGAAAAGTATACTCCATGTGTAAAAATATGTTACATTATAAACATAATTTTATGATTTTTTGATATGTATATTTTTAAATACAGTTTTAAACTATGTTTTAATTTCCAAGCTTCTCCTGTACTTCAGATATTTTTATCTTTTTAAGCTTTAACATATTGCATGTATAATAGGAATGTAAGCCTCCAATATGTGTTTTTATTTTTTTGAGGGGATTTTAATACAGGGTTCATACCTTATAAGTATTTTTTGATGTTGGATTTTGAGCAGTTTTAAATAGCAGGGCATTTTAATTGTTATAACCCAAGCATACTCTGAAATAATTATTTAATAAGATATGAGTAAAATAGTAGGTATGTATTTTATACATAAAATGACGTGGGTAAAAGTCTGGTAAAATGATTATGTTCTTAGTGAGTTCTTTTTAATGTACAAATGGAGCACGAAGTACTTAGGATTCTAAAGACAATTAATCAAATTGTTTTTATTTTTTAAATTTTGCAGTGTGTGATTAATAAAGTTTTACAAATAGAAGAAATAGACACAGATGTTGTTGTAAAGTAAGTATGAATATATAGGTTGATAGTTTCCATTCAAGAAAAAGATGACACATGGAATTAGAATAACTTAAGAAGGATTTAATGAAGGAATTATTGACTTATGTATGGGGAAGGGTATAAGAAAATTACACATGACACTGAAGCACCTTTTAAGAAATACGGGACAAGAGCTGTTAAAAGAATTCAGAAGAAAGACAGTAGAAGTTGGAAAAAAGCTGTGTGCTTGAGTAGAGGGAAGCAGTTATTCTGAGGTAACCCTTTGGGGAGGTAACTAGAGTTAACTACACCAGGATAGTCCCCCTTATCTGCAGGAGATACATTCCAAGACCCCTCCCTCCCAGTACTGAATCTTATTGCATATTTTTTCTTGTGTGCCTTGTGACATTGCCACATAGTTTCAGAGTTAATCTGCCCTTCCGTGTTTTATACCCTAGTACCTCCTTTGCATCACTGCCCTTGTGCTTTGGGGCTGTTACTAAATAAAATAAAAGTTGAACAAAGCACCATTGATCTGATAACTGAGATAGCTAAGTGACTAATGGGCAGGTTGAGTATACAGCATATAACATGGATATGCTAGGCAAAATGATGATTCATGTCTTGGGTAGGAAGGAGCAGGCATCACACAGTTCATTTGTGGAATTTTCCATTTAAGAGCACAAGGAATATAAAGTATTTCATTACAGTGGGATAGCAAATATTACATTTGAATTATTTAGCTATATAATTAAAACTGAGCTTCTAATTGGCGTTGAAGAATGAGTATTTGATTTTGTATTGCCTGTCTATAATTTTTCTGTTTCACCCTCAAAATTCCTATTCTGTTATTTTGAGAAAAATAATGGTAAATATTTTATGACTGTATTTCTCATTCATATAGATAACCTAAACTTTATTGACTGGCCTAAGATATGAATAGCAATATGGAGCTGTGAAGTTTTTCTAGGCCAAACTCATAGAACTATGGAATGTTACTTTCCATATCACTACCTGGTGAAAACTAAGTTTAAGAATTAGATGAAATAACTATATAGTAAAGGAGGAACTGCAAAGAGTTGGAAAACATAAGTCATTGGTACTCTATTAGGGACCCCAAGAACATGAAAGTTAGTGACTTTATTTTCTTCTTCTGTAGGGAATTTTCTCAACTTAAGTAGAGATCTTCCTGTATAGGAGTTCTCTTTTTGAGTATAGGAGTATCCAGTATAGGAGTATCTTTTTGAGACTGAATCCCTGGCTGCATCAGTATTCATTAAAAATTTAGAGCAATGAGTCGTTTTAGTACTAAAAAACATCTTTATGGAATTCTATTTTGCATTAATCTATTTCATCTTTGAAGTTGAAATCTTTGATTAATGTCAATTATTAAAATAATGTTGATTAATATACATAATTTTTTAAAATGTGCCATGCGTTGCTTTAAGTATTTTTATTAGCTCATTTAATGTTTATAACAACTATATAAGATACATTCTGTTACTTGAGAGAATTGGAGATGGAGGAGTAAATCACCTGACAGTTACTCAGCTAGCAACTCTGTAAAAAGCTAGAATTTTGAACTGAGGTTCTATGGCTTCAAACCCATGCATGGTCTTAGCAATCATACTGTATTACCTCTCATTATGTGAAAGAGTACTTTCTAGTTTGTCATTAGAAAAATAGGATATTAAATTTGTTGAGAGAGATGTTATGTTTCTATTTTTATTCCAGAAGATATCCTTACCTTTAATTAAAACTAGTTTACTTCTCTTTGGTTTATTCCTTCAGTGGTCACAAAGCATGTTCATCTAGAATTACTGTGTGATAAAGTTTGTATGTCAGTATGCTTGATTAGACTAGCCTTACAGGTATTTAAAAAAATAGGGATTATTTGGTAGTTGACCTCTTCAACTCAAAAGTCTGCAATTTTAGTTAGAGATACAGATAAAATTGCATTTTATTTAGTATCATTTCCTCTAGTGTAGATGTTATCATATTGGTCCAGAGATGATCATTATTTTTGTTAAAAAATTTTTCTTTTCTAGGCTTGCAGATCAGATGAGAATGTTGAATTTTCCCCAGTGGTTTGATCTGTTAAAGGATATTTTCTCTAAGTTTACAGTTTTCCTACAGAGAGTTAAGGTAAGCTTATATATCAGTTTCTCCAAAATATTCCTATTTTTAATTAAGTTGTGTGTTTGTGTGTGTGTGTTTTGTGTGTGTGTGTGTATATATATATAAATGTGTATATATGTATATGTATATATTTTATACATATATATGTATAAAATTAGAGTAAAACAATTTCCTTGCTTTTATAATTTTTCTGAAGAAACTTGGTTTTAAATAATGAAGGGCCACAGGGTAATTTGGAAATTTTTATTATTTTGAGTGATTTGTTTCATACTTAAAAGAAGTACTGTAATGCTTATGTGGCATTAAATATATAATGTTTCCTCTTGTGATTTTTATGACGCTTGAATCCTTCTAGGTTGTATCAAAGTTCAATGTTATGAAACATTCAAATACCCATTACAAACCACTAATTTTTCTAGAAGTTTAATTTTGTGGACATAATACTGGTTTTTTTTTAGCATTGTTCAATATTCAGATTATCCCAGTAATGTCCTTTATTGCAGGTTTTTCTTTTATATTTTTGGTCTGGGGTCCCATCAAGGATCATGCATTGCATTTAATTACTTTGTCTCTTTAGCTATACCACTTAATTTTAAGCCATTTAGTATAAGAGAAAGAACACAATCCACACGTTTTTCATGAGATGTCCAGATTCTAATACCTATTGGTTGGAGTCACTAACAAGTCATAGCTGCTTTGTTGTTGTTGTTCATTTGTTTGTTTTTTGAGGTGATAAGGATTGAACCCAGGTCCTTGGACATGCTAGGCAAGTACTCTACCATTGAGCTACATCCCTAGCCCTATAGCAGTGTTTTAGTAAGAAAATAGTCATTGGGAATTACTGAATGTAACAAAAGAGGCTATTTGTGAAATCTGATATTCTTTGATCAACTATCAGTATTGGGTTATATATGCTATAAACATGCCTAGTACCTCTTAAGTACCATGGTAAGTCATCTCAGGGAGTATGGTACTTATCAACAACATGGCTTTTCCTCATTGACATTGGAGCAATGCTAAGTCACATGTAAGAGCTCTTCCTAAGAGGCAGAAAAGTTTTATAAATTGTGATTCTCTGCACTTAATTTAGACTGCTTAGGACACCAATAATGATAAACAGCAAATATATACCTGTGTTCAATAACTAGGACATGTTTTCACCTTTGTTTATTTTTTTTGAGACAGGATCTTGAATTGTATCCTAGTCTGACCTTGAATGCATAATCTTCTTGGCCTCTTGTCTCCAGAGGGCTGGGATAACAGGCGTGTGCCACCATCTGGGCTCACTTTTTCTTATATTCTGACCATGGCCTTATCATCACACATATTTATCATTGCATGTTTGGATATATAGAACACTGAATTGCATTGTATGGAACTGGCCAACTTTTTGCCAGTAATTTTTTATCTTTATATTTATTTATTTTTGCCATACTGGGATTGAAACTTAGGGCTACATGTTTGTGAGGCTTTGCCAGTAATTTTTAAGTAGCTATTCTACTTTTTTGTCTCTGTCTGTTACGCTAAGGAGAATTATTAGTCGATGAATGTACAATTGGGAACTGTGATTTGTCATAATTGTAATTTCTCATTTTCACATTTGATCTACTTAAACTAGTACTTCATAGAACATCTTTGAAGAAGGCATATAACCTTTGAATATGGTAATTTTGTGATTCTATAAGGGAATGATTTCACTGAAAAATAATGTTAATTATAACACTTCATTTTTAGTGAAAAAATTATTAAAAATTAAAAAGAGCCTAGGGCTGGGGGAGTGGTTCAAGTGGTAGAGTATAAGGCCCTGACTTTAAACCCCAGTACCACCAAAAAAAAAAAAAGAAAGGAAGAGCCTAGATGTCTAACAATAGTAAATTATGCCTGGCACATTCTTTATCATGTAATATATAGTCATGGATTTTTAATGGTACAAGAAAATACATAGGTTTATAACATTAAGAGAAAAGACAAGATGTGAAACATACTTACACAGTGTTATCTCAGCTATGTCAAGTTTTCAAAATCTGTTCATCACCATTGAGACAGCTTGTCTGGTGGTTATTTTTAGGTGGCTGGATTGTATGACATTTGAAATATTTATTTTTTGAGCATCCCTAAATTTTATTTAAAGAGGGGTACTATTTTTATAAGCACAAAAATTGTTTTGTTTTTAAATGGTGTTTACTATGTTAAAAAAGTAAACTACAGTGTTTGAATTTCTTGTTTATCAGGGTTGATAATTTGCTATCCTTCATTTTTATGTTTATTTCTCAAAAACAAAATGTATATCCTATATATTGTAAATACATTGTATTTTAAAAAGACATTAAAGTATAAATTTTCATACAGAACCTTTCATTAATATTTTTGAGTGGATAAATAATTAAAAGCTTAAAGTTTGAAATTTTCATATTTAAGTTGTTATTAATGACTTGAGGTTCTAGATTGCTGTTATGTTTTATTTATTTATTTATGGTGGTGCTAGAGATCAAACTCAGGGCCTCATGCATGCAAGGCATACATTCTACCTCCTTTTAGTATGTATTTTAAAATTTTTGTTTAGTGTGATAAAATAAATATAACATAATATTTGACTATCATTTACGTACATAGTTCTGAAGAATTAAGCTTACTCACGTTATTGTGCTTCCATCACCACCATAGAACTTATTTCATCTTGCAAAACTGAAACTGTTAAATGGTAACTCCCATACCTTCCTTCTCCCAGCCCTTGGTAACTACCATTCTACTTTCTATCTCTGTCAAATTGACAATTCTAGGTATCTCATATAAGTGGAGTCATACATTACTTATCCTTCTGTGACTGGCTTATTTCACATTATACCATGTACTCAGGGTGTCATCCATGTTGTAACATGTATTAGAGTTTCCTTTTTAAGTCTGAATAATACTTTGTTATATGTGTATACTGCATTTTATTTATCCATTCATCTGTCAATAGAAACTTGAATTACTTTTACCTTTTGACTGTTGTGAATTGATGCTGCCATAAATAAGGCCATATAAATATGTTTGAGTACCTGCTTTAAGTTCTTTTAAGTATATAGAAATGAAACTGAAACAGAACTGTTAGATCATATAGTAATTCTGTTTCTAAATTTTTGAGGAACCTCTATAGTGTTTTCCATAGTAGTTGTACCATTTTACATTCCCACCAACAGTGCACAAGGTTTCTACTTTCTCTACATCCTTGGTAGCACTTAATACAGGCTAACATTTATTTTCTGGTTTGTTTGAGAGGAGCCATCTTTAATAGGTGTGAGATAATATTTCACTGTGGTTATAATTTGCATTTCTCTAATGATTAGTGGTGTATATCTTTGCATGTGCTTATTGGCCATTTGAATGTCTTCTTTGGAGAAATATCTTCTTTGTCTGTTTTTTAATTGGGCTATTTGTTTTCTCATTGTTGAATTGTAGGAATTCTTTATTCTGGATCTTAACCCATTATCAGGCCTATGATAAACATTTTCTCCCATTTCAAGGGTTGCCTTTTTGCTCTGTTAATTGTTGTCTCTTGATGCATGTAAAGTTTTTGTTTTGATGTACTCATATTTCCTTTCATTTCTTATGTTTTTGGTGTAATATCCAAGATATCAATAGCAATCCAGTATCATGACAAAAGTTTTATAATTTTAGGAGTTATATTTGGGTCTTTTATAGATTTTAAATTAAGTTTTCTATGTGGTTATCCTATTCCATTTATATTGCTATAAGAAAATACCTGTAACTGAGTATTTTTATAAAGTAAAGAGGTTTATTTAGCTTTGGAGGTCAAGAGCAAGGTGCCAGTATCTGCTTGGCTCTTATAGTGGATGGTATCACAATGGTGGGAGGATATGTGAGGTAGAAAGCAAGGAACCAGGAGAGGCTAAGCTTGTTCTTTTTATAACAAGCTGCTCTCCCAGGGACTAATAGATTCCCACCTGACTTGACCTGCTTCTGCAAAACAGTATTAATCCATTCATGAGGGTGAAGCCTTCATGACCTAATTAGTTTCCATAAGGCTCCACTAGATGCATTTTTGATACATTTATTTTATTCACATAACAATCTAATCACTCATGGTCCAAGAATACTCAAGTAATAAGTATAATCAGATGTTAAAAGGTTGGTCTTTAAACATTATAACCAACTATGCTATGATTGCTTATAATATCTCTGATATAAAACTATATCCATACTTGAGTGGCCATTAAATAAATAATTTAGCGCAGTTTCCTTAACTGTGAGCGGCTTGAAGTTGCTAGGTTCAGTACTATTGATAATTTTTTTCAGGCTCTGAATAGCTCTGGGGATCTCAACAGAGGTTGGAGAAACTGCTCAGGCTTCTTGTGGTACTTGAGTAAGTCATGGCAACATTCACAAGCACCAGAGTCTTCTCCATGAGATTACAGACAAATTGGGACATAGTTCTAAGATTAAAAGTCTTTTGTTCTGAGCAGTTGGTTAAAGATCTTTCCTGGATGGACCCCAGGACCTACTTCTTAAAGTTCTACCACCTCAGTACTGCAACCTTGGGGCCAAGTCTTCAGCACATGAGTCTTTGGGAGACAAGCCATATTCAAGCCATGGCAATGGCCTAAAGCAAGGGTTCAGCTTCATTCTTTTGCATATGAATGCCAGTTTTCCTAGCATTATTGGTTGGAAAAACTGTTGTTTCCTCCTTGAATGGTCTTGGCACCCTTGTCAAAAATCATTTTATCATATATATGAAGGTTTATTTCTGGGCTCTCAGTTCTGTTGTTCTACATGTCTGTCTTTATTTTAGTTCAAACACTGCTTTGATTACTATAGCTTTGTAGTAAATTTTGAAATCAGAAAGTATATGGTAAATCGTATTTACCATATTTTGAATTTTTATTAAAATTTTTGTTCGTTGTATGAACTCCATAGATGACCTGAATTGTATAGCTAAAAAAGAAAATAGTCCTTAAATGCAGTTTATGCACCATAGATTTTTTTATCAGGCTGGGGATAGAACTTGCATTTGGAAGGCAGTGCTCTACTGTTAAGCTACATATCCAGCCCTTAAGGATTTTTTAGTTCTTAAATTTCAATTTTTTTGTGTGTGAAAAATAGTCCTAGTCTGTCATCTTAGAGACATATCAATATGATTATCAGTATTTTATTTATTCTTAAGATTGGAAAATATCTTTTGGTTTATCTGGCCTGGTTTATTTTAAACGTGAACTTGTCTGTAGACTTTGTAATAGGTAGTTCAGAAAATAAATCACATATCTACTATTGAACCTATTATATATTGCAAAATGTTGGGGTTTTTTGGAGACTAGACTCCTGGCATCATTAAAAGCAAGAATGGCTCTGAATTTGGAAAAATTCAAAAATTATAAAAAAAATTATAGCTATGGTTAAAAACAGCAAAGATGAAACTCTTAATACTAATAAATTATACTTGGAAAATTTATAGCTAAAGGAATAAAGTATTCAAATTAAACTAGCCTAAACAATAAAAAGTATTTTGGCTAATATTACTAAAAATAGTTCAAGAGTAGGATGTGCTTTATACATGGTTTTGTACTGGTTCTTAAACTTAGGTTTTCTGTTTTTAATTAAGTTCTGCCCTCTTTTTTGGGTTCATCAGATTTAGGTCTGCTGCATTTTTATGCTGTACTACTTAGAGCAAGAGTTGTTCTTTTCAGTCATCAAATGAAAGTCCTTGGCTTTAGTTAATTGAACCAGTTTGTGTCACATACCCAGTCACAGTGGTCAGGAAAATACCATGTACTGATTGGTTTAGGCCTGGAGTTTCTTCTCTTCTGTAGACTAATCAAGAAGGTTGGGAATATACCAAGTAAGCTATTCAGTACTGACATCTAAAGCTGGAAGGGGGGCTCAGTTCCACTCAAATTACATGGTTGCTATACCATGGGGAGGTGCAAAGTAAATGTTAGGAAGGAAAGATTAAGTCCATCATCATGGTCTTTTTATTTAAAAAAAAAAAAACAGCTAAAAAAGAAAGCAATACAGAAGAGAGAAGAAGAAAGACAAAACAAAGATGGTAGAAGTAAGCACATCAAAGTTTGGAAAGTAGTAGGGATTAAAAGCAACAGCGGTGAAAATATAGCAAGCAGCAAATGTGTGACAATACAGAAGCTAGTAAACAATGAAGAAACACACAAAAAATGCAGTATCCATAGACACTTTGGTACTAAAGCTCTCAAAGTCTGTATTTGCTCTGTATTGTATCAGTTAAGAGTGCTTTCAGTTCCAAATAATGGGAAACACAACTCAATAGTGTCTCAAACAATTAACATTTATTAGCTCATGTAATGGAAAAATATCCAGAGGTAGCTCAGCTTTTAGGCGCTTGATAGAGATGTTAATAATATCTTTAAGCCTTGGCTTTGTTTTTCTGCAGTTCTTAGTCTGTGTGTTTTTAACTCTAAGCACAGACAATGGTGGTTCCATGTGCTGATTGACTAGCTTAGATCCTATCCTGACTTTGGAGACTTGAAGTTAGAGTCTACTTTCCTAGAATCCTGTAGATTCCCCAAAAGAAATGAAAGAGTTTGAGAAAGGGAGCAACAAATTTAAGAATGCAACTGTGGATGTTAAAGTAGGCAAGTTGTCCCTTATTTCTTCATCATCCATGAAGACATTAATTTATAAGAAATTGCTATTCATTCACCCAGTTTTCAATATTTATTCAGTTCTTCCTATTTATCAGGCTCTAGGCTTTAGAATTATAGTATCTTATGGAGCTAACACTGTAGTAGGAGACCTAGAATAAATAAAAAGATAAATTTAGATAATGGTAAATGTTCTTTTTTTTTTTTTTTAAATCTGGCTAATGGGATGGAGCTGCTAGGAGGAGTCAGAGAAGGCCTCTGAGGAAGTTACTATTTGTGCCAGACCTGAGTGATAAGAAGAAAGTGTGCAAATATCAAGATGAAGAGCATGCTGCACAAAGGAAGCAGCAAAGGCTTCTTCTAACAATCCAAGATTGTTGAATGCAAAGAGCATTCCTGTCCTTCATTGTTTAAGTGTCTATCCATTGTTCAGTTGGGTTTTCCCTTGGTATTTTACATATAAACATATTGTACTTTAATCAGTCTAACCCCATCTATTACCCTTCCCTATCCTTTTCCCTCTACCCTATATTGTTCAACAGTTTTCAGTACATTTTACTGTGTCTTGTTCCTGCACAGATGTAATGTATTTCAATATTATTCACTCTCTATCATTCTCTTGTTCTTTTTCCTCCTTCCCTATGCTTGTATTTGTATTTGGATCTATCTTCCACATATGAGAGAAACATGAGATCTTTGTTTTTCTGAACCTGGTGTACTTCACTTAACATGATAGTCTTCACTTCCATTCATTTACCTGCAAACAACAACATTTCATTCTTCTTTATGGCTGAATAATACTGCATTGTGCGCACACACGCACACACACACACCCCACAGGGCATCTGAACTGTTTCCATGGCTTGGCTATTGTGAATAATGCTGCAGTAAACATGGATGAGCAAGTGTCTTTATTGTATCCTGACTTACATTCCTTCGGATATGTGCCCAGGAGTGATATTACTAGATGGTATGGCAGTTATATTTTTAGTTTTTTGAGGAACCTCCAATACTGCTTTCCATTATGGTTGCACTAATTTACATTCCCACTAACAATGTATAAGGATTCCATTTTACCCACATCCTCGCCAACATTTATTGTTATGTACTTGAAAATAGCCATTCTAATAGGCGTGAGGTGGGGGTGTACTAGTGGGAGGGGAAGGGTAAATGAAGAGAGTAAAGGAGAGTGAAAATAGTTGATGTATTTTCTATACATGTATGAATATGTAACACTGAAACCTATTGAAGTCATTTTAAGAAGGGGGAGGGGGAAGAGAGAAAATAATGGAGGGGATGAACCAAAATGAGGTACATTGCACGCATATGTGAAATGTCACACCACCACCCCCTGTACAACTATTATATACTAATAAAAACATTTTAAAAAAAAGTACAAAGAGAACCAGAATGTCTTAAGAGTAAGGAATAGGTGAGAGAAGGCATGAAATAAGGTAAGAGATGGGGAAGGCCTAGTCATGCTAAGGAATGTCACTTATTTTTCTTTTAAGCAGGCATACCAACTAATAGGATTCTCTGAGGGGCAAGTTATGATATGTTTAGTGTAGCCTGCTTAAGAGGTGAGAGGAATATGCAATACATTTAGGGAAATTTTCACTTAAAACAATCAGTTAAAATATAAGTACTCTAGGCTTTAGTGGACCTGTTTATCCTGAATGGCTCATTTTCACAAATCATTGTTACTGTGTAATAAAAGATTGGTAGCAATTGTGATATTTATGGCCTTGACTCATTTATGATCAAGCATAGATCTTTCTCAATATTATGTGCACAGAATTCTCTGAGGAACTTTACAAAATATTTCAAATCCCTTGACAACATACCTTTTTTGTTGTTTTGTTTTGTAGGCAACATTCAGTATCATTCACAGTGTTGTTCTCTCAGTTCTTGACAAAAACCAAAGGACTAGAGAATTGGAGGAGATTTCACAGCAGAAGAATACAGCAAAAGACAATTCATTGGACACAGAGGTGGCTTATTTAACCCATGAAGGCATGTTTATAAGTGATGCATTCAGTGAAGGCGAATTAGCACCTTTAGCAGTTGACACTACCTCTCAAAGAAATGCATCTCCAAACAGTGAACCCTGCAGCAGTGATTCAGTATCTGAACCTGAATGTACTACTGATTCTTCATCCAGCAAAGAGCACACATCATCATCTGCTACTCCAGGGGGTGTAGATATTATGTGAGTATAGTGGCTGTTGACAAAATGACAAGATTTTTGAATCTTATTAATGGTTTCATATTCCCTTTCATACGTGCTTCATCCAGATTCTCCAGTTGTTAGCAGTTTACCACATTATCCTGTATTTCCCTCCTTTTGTCACTCATCCTCCCTTCTCTGTCTCTCATGTTAATATTTTTTTAATCATTTGACAGTAGTTTGCAGACACGATGCCCCAAAAAATGCAGCGTGCATTTCCTAAACCAGTACACTCTTCTATATAATAATAGTATGCCAATTAAATACAAGAAAACATTGATAAATTATTGCATCTAATTTGTTGACCACAGAGTTCACCAGGTGCCCCAGTAATCTCTGTTATCTAAAAAGACAAAGCAAAACCAATAAAATCTTTCAGGACCAAGAACATAGTTTAGATCTCGTTATTATTAAGACTAACAGAGGACTAGGGGTTTGACTCGAGTGGTAGAGTGCCTGCCTAGTGAGCACAAGGCCCTGAGTTCAAACCCTAGTATTACCAAAAAATAAAATAACATCTGACAAAAGGAAAAAATAATTAACAGAGCTGGGAATGTGACTCAAGTAATAGAGTGCCTAACTAGTAAGCACACAGTCCTGAGTTTTAACCACAGTATAGCCCCCCCAAAAATAATGACTCAGTATTTTGTCCATCTTTACATAAATCAGCCCATGGTCCAGGAACTTCTAAAAGTCATAGTTCCAGCATTAAGCCAGCTATAACAGCCTCCTGTTCCTACCAAAATGAACTCCTTAACTACATATTAATAACTGCATGCTAACAAAGATATTTTTTGTGTGTTTATGATATTTTCATGTTTGCCAGGTACAGTTTCAAGCTGCTGTTAAAAGAGATATGGACTGGCAAGTGGCTCAAGTGGTAGAGCACCTATCTACCAAGCCCGAGGTCCTGGGTTCAAACCCCAGTACTGCCAAAAAAAAAAAGTGATATAAAATGTCTGTAGCTTAAATAATACAGGATTTTATTTCTCTTATGTAACATTTTGAAGGTAGGAGGTCTTTGCCTGAGAAGGCAGCTGTCCCATCCTCACTGGTGGCAGTTCCAGCTTTTACCATCTCAGATGATCCCTAGCAGCAGAAAGGAGAGGAAAAAGGGCTGGTACTCTTCTTATTTTGTTTTTGTTTGGTTTTGTTTTTTAACTTTTAATTTGAGTATAATGCACATGTGGGGAAATGTACCATTTAGAAGTATTCAGCTCAGATATCACAAAGTGAAAATACTGGTATAATAAGAAATAGAACATTATCAGCTCTCCTGAACCCCTTTATCGCTGTACTACTGCTCTACTCCTTCCCAAAGGACATTATTAAAACCACTGGTTTTTCTACTTAATTTTTTTCTTTTTTGTAAGTGGAACTACACTTATTTTGTGTGTAATTCCTTTCATTCAACATTATGTGATCATTGTCCACCTTTTGGCATGTAGCAGTAGCTTTTATTCATGTACAAATATTCCATTTTATGACAACACCAAAGAGTCAAATTCATTCAGTTATTGATCATATTTGGGATATCTCCATTTTGAACTGTTGTAAACATTCTTGTAGATATTTTTGGTGCACATGTTATAAGCACTTCTCCAAAATACATACCTAGAAATGAATAATGTATGTGAATGGTCAATTTAGCTAATACCAAACAGTTTCTCAAAGTGGTTGTACTCATTTATAGTCTCATCAGCAATATGGAAGAGTTCCTGTCACTCCACACATCTTCATTCATTATTAGTATTGTCAGTCTTTTACATGTCAGCCATTCTGCTAGATATGTCACAGGTGTAGTGGTTTTAATTTTTATTTTCCCAAGTTATTGCAGAAGAGCACCTTTTCATATATTTGTTGCCTATTTCAGTAGCCTCTTCTGTAAAAGACCTTTGTCTGTTCTTCTGTTGCTTTGCTTTTTATTTTGTACTGATTTATTAGAGCTGTCATATAATCTCCCTCTTTTTTTTTTTTTTGGTGGGACTGGAGTTTGAATTCAGGGCTTCACACTTGCAAAGTCAGGCACTCTACTGTTACTATAATCTTGAAACAAACCCTTTGTCTGCAATCCAAATATCTTCTCCCTCTTAGTAGGAGGGGTCTTTGGTAAATGAAAGTTTTAAATTTTAATATAATCTTATGATTTATTATTTTCCTTTATGGTTTGTGCTTTTTGTGTGTTCTGTTTAAGAAGTATTTCCCTGTTCTAAGGCCTTGAAATATTCTCTTATTTATTTTTGTTTCTTTACACCAGTGTCTCACTATGTTCCTAAGCTGAACTTGAACTCATGATCCTCCTGCTTTTTCTTCAAGATTGTCTTACCTGCATGATGGCTCACATCTATAATACCAACTACTTAGAAAGCTGAGGCAAGAGGATCTCAAGTTAGAGATCAGACTGGGTACCTTAGTAAGATTGTGGAGATGTAGCCTACTGAAAGAATACTTGCCTTACGTGAGTGAGGCCCTAGGTTCAGTACCTGGGATCACCAGACAAACAAACTTCCCATGACTGCCTTGACTATTTTTGGCCTTTTTCAAATCCTTAGATTTGTTAGTTCTCTGTTGCCTTCTCATAGATTTGTTTATATATTGTTCTTTATTTCCTTTTAAGAGCACAATCCAGAATTTGGATTAAACTTCTACCCACATTCTATAACCCAGAATATTATCACATAAGGGAAGCTTGAGAAATAGTCTTTAACTTGTTGGCTATTTGCTAGCTAAAACTATTATTGTGGCAGAAGAGAGAACAAATATTGAAAGATAACTAGCATTCTGCCATGCTACTTTTAAACTGTATGATAGTTTTTATTCTTCCCCTCCTGTGTTCATTATAGCTCACTCTATTCTTAGAACCTTTTCTGGCTTTCTCTCATCTCATGTTACCATAGCATGAAACATAGGTTCTGTAGATGGCTCCTTCTGTGTTCGCTAGGGACATGAATATCTGGGAACTACTCACCCCAAGGGACAATGAATTGAGTATATTTGTTTGTGTGTTACTAGCTAGTTTTTTTTTTTTCTTATACAAGGCCTCTATTTCTATAGCAAGTGTTTTTGCAGTATATAATTGTGTAATGGATATACAATGTGTAAAAATGATGTTTGACATTTTAACTTTATTAATGGTAGATTTTCCCTATTCTCTCACTTTGCCAAAATAATCTGCAATTTTCTAAGTTCATTGCAATGCAAATATGGACACAAAAGAGTAAGTATTTTTCTAGGCAAGAAAATGGGAACGGCAAATTAATGGAAAAGATTTGAAAGAGTTGTGGAGTTATAAAAAAAATAAACATTTTTAGTTAAAAATTTTTTTAATTGTGATAACAACCATTAAAAAAAATCTACCCTCTTAACCATTTTATTTCTATATTTCTTCTTTTCTTTCTTTCTTTTTTTTTTTTTGGCAGAACTGGGGTTTTAACTCACGGTCTTGCACTTGTTAGGCAGGTGCTATACCACTTGAGCCACTCCGCCAGCCCATTTTATTTCTAAGTGTATAATTCAGTAGTATTACATAGATTCACATTGTGTAATCAATCTTCAAAACTTTTTCCATCTTCCATGCTCATTAACAATTCCCGGTTTCTGCGTCCCCCAGCCACTGATAGCCATGACTTTCCCAGTGAATTTTAAAATTCTAGTTACCAAATATAAGTGGAATCATATAGTTTTGTGGTTTTTATTACTGGTTTATTTCATTTAGCATAATGTCCTTAGAGTTCTCTATTGTAGTATAGGTAAGTGTTCTTTCCTTTTAAGGCTGGATAATTATTCCATTATATGTACGTGTCACATTTTGTTTATCCATTCATCTGTTAGTGCCTGGGTTGCTTCTACCTTTTAAACTATTTTGAATAGTGCTGTTATGAACTTGAATGTACAAATAGACCTTTGAGATCATGTTTTCAATTATTTTGGCAGTACTAGGGTTTGAACTCAGGGCTTCATGCTTGTTAGGCAGGCACTCTACTACTTGAGCTGCACCCCAGCTTGCTTTCAGTTATTGTGGATATACACTCAGAAATAAATTGTTAGATTACATTTGGATTTCTTTGCTTGCTTATTTTCCTCAATTATGTAAAAATTAGAGACAAACTTAAAAAGTAAAAATTCTTTTTAAAAGCAAAATTATAACTAGTTAAATGATTAAAAGCTTTCCAACCTTTCGATTTATCGCCTATTTAAAGACTTCACTTATTTTTATTTGCTATTTCCTGTTTATATTGTTATAAATAACATGTTGCCAAGAGTTCTGAATTCCTTAATCATTCTGCTACCTGGTAAATTTAGTAACCAGAAAAATGAAACTTTATTTCAGTAGTAAATTTGAACTTTGAAATTTAAGCATTTTTTATGGGAGGTGGTATTGAAAATTACTACCAGACTGTTTATATAGGAGCAGAGGAAGCCTAGTCAATTAGAGACAGATTAATGCTGGATTCTAGTTCTGCCCTCTTAACCTTGTGGTCTTGGTAATTCACTTAAACTTTCTAAGATTGTTATTTTCCTACCTTAGAGTGTGGAAATTGAACAAAATAGTGTTTCTGAGAGTCCTTTAAGAATATTAATCTATTATTTAAAAACATCAGTAAATAAACTTAATGGTGGCATAATTTTGAAGGATAACAGTTAATGACTTTCTTCCTTAACTGTCTTTCTACCTTATCCCAGTTAGAGTGGAGATTTGCTTCAGATTAATATGCATCAGAGCCTCTTGTAATATCCTTGAAGCTTCTCTCAATTCAGCTGAAAGGGAGGAAAATATTAAGGCACTTAACTTGGCTTATAGTAACACCAAACTGAACTAGTAGCATGGAATCAGTAGTCTTTATATATGTCCCTGGAACAAAATGTTTAAAAGCAGAAAATCGTCTTATATTTCCCTTCAAAATTGGAAAAAGTGTATTATATCTATAAATACTACTGTTTGAGTGCAGATTTCTTAAGGGCACCAACCTGATGTAGCATAGCACTTACTTTTTTAGTAAGTGCTTAGCCATTGAGTTAAATATAACTTAATATTAAGTCATTTACAATTATTGGTAAAAGAGTGCCTATTTGTCATGAAATAACATTCTTTCCTTCTTCCTCCTTCACTATGTTACCCCAGGTGCCTATGCACAAACCTTCTCCTGCCAAAGCTACCACTTTATACCTCAGCCCCCAAAATTATTTTTTGCAGATTTTCCAATCAGAGTATAAGCTAAATATTAAAAATACTATGGCACAGAGAGAAAATTATTCTTATATAAGGTTTGGGTAAAATATATACTACCCAAGCATGTTCAAGTGATGTTTCACCATTAAAAACTGTATTTATTACATAGCAAAATTTTTTCTCAAAGTGAATTTTATCCTTTTCATTGATATATCACCTGTGGTGGAACATTGTATTTACATTTATCCCTGACTAAATCTCATTTTACCATTTTCAGTGTCAGTGAAGACATGAGATTAACCGACTTAGAGCTAGGAAAGCTGGCAAATAATATCCAGGAATTATTGTACAGTGCCTCAGATATGTGCCACGATCGAGCCGTCAAATTTCTCATGTCAAGAGCAAAGGTATTTTCATAAAACTTTTGATAGTTTATGTTATTATTTGTAAGTATACATAGTATAATTATAAGTATATATAGTATATAATTATTTTAGAGATCTGGAGTTATGTCTGCTTCTATCCCTATGTTTCCCATAATGCATATTATAGTTTTAACATTTAATAAAGTTAATAGCATTACTGGGGTGGTCTGTTAGGGAGCTGCCAAAATATAAAATAATTTACATTGTAAAGTGTTTTTTTTTTTTTTTTTGTGGTACTCAGGTTTAAACTCAGGATCTTGCTCTTGCTAGGCATGCACTCTACCAATTGAGCCAAACCCCACCCCCCTAGCCCAGGAAAAATTATTAAAGCATTATTTTCAAAGAAATGATTAAATTGATTTGAATATAATTTTTATATTATAAATAAATATATTTTAAATGTATGTATTTTATTTATTTTAAAATGTAATATCTTAATAGTTTATTAAGCTTTATTTAAAAATGTATCTTAATAATTAACTTAAATCTAATGTATTGTTTTATATATTTATACATTTGTAAATATATAAAGCCAAACAAGTTATAGTATTACCTGAATTTGTCTGAGTTACTATATTAATTATAAAGGGATCTGAATCAAATTTAGTCATACCAGCTTTTCATGTTCAACTTTTGGGTCTGAAGTATTAGGAAATTTTATTTAAAATGATAAAAACAATTGCTGTATTTACAATATAACATAACATTCAATGTAATTAATATATTATGAAAATGATCTCATTAATATTAAAATTTATTAGGCTAAATTGGTTTTATAGCTCATCTATATTTGGTGTTATTTTAATGCCCTATAATGATTTTTGTGTTATTTTTTAAACACAGGATGGTTTTCTTGAGAAGCTAAATTCCACGGAATTCATAACACTTTCTAGATTAATGGAAACATTCATTGTAGACACTGAAAAGATCTGTGGAAGAAGAAGCATGTCATTACTTGGAGCACTTCAGAGTCAAGCTAATAAATTTGTAAATAGGTTTCATGAAGAGAGAAAAACCAAACTCAGGTATCATCTCCATGTCCATTCTATTCTTCAGTTTCCTTTTTTTGCAGTTATATTTTAAAAGGAAAACTTGACTGCTAGCCAAAATTCCTGATAATTTTTTAAATTAAAGGCAGAACATGGAATTTAAATCACATTTCTTAGCTTTCAAGATGGGAATTAGAATGTTTAGTTCTACTAAAGTACTTATCAGGTAGATCCTCAGTACATGTCTTCCCCAGTCAAAAGTTAAGTAAATTATGTTTCATCACTCTTCTTGGTTAGGCCAAAAGATATAAAAATATTTTCTTAAAATAATGCTGCTATTTTTTCCCAATTTATTAAGATATTCAGCATTTTAAAGATACTATGTACTCATCTGAGCTCTTTTCAACCAAGAAGAATGTTGTTAAGCATAGTTGCACATGTCTGTAATCTAAGCATTGGGGAGGCTAAGACTGAGTTGGAGGCCAAGCTGTCTGAGCCCCCCTACCCCCCCAAAAAAGAAAATGAAAATGTTGAAATATTACTAAAGTGCATCTTCCTTTCTTTTTACTTTTGAATAGCCTTCTCTTAGATAATGAGCGCTGGAAGCAAGCTGATGTTCCTGCAGAATTTCAAGATCTTGTTGACTCAATATCAGATGGAAAAATTGCTTTACCTGAAAAAAAATCAGGGGGTTTGTGTAATTCTTTTACATGCTTTTTTCTAATTTTGTATTTTTATTTTGTACAAATGCTTAGTTTTTCTTTGACAATGCCTATTGAAAGCCTGCAAATAATATTCCCAGTTGACAGCAAAAGTATCGGTGGTCATTTATACTAATAATTTCAAATATTTATTATTAGCCATATTCCAGACACTAGACAACAATGTGCTTTATGTGCAGTACGCTAGTTTCTCATTACAACATCTTATGATAATGTTGCTATTGTTAACCTTAATAGTGAGGAGGCTTAGAGCAGTTAAGGAATTTTGAACAAATGATGAGCTGGGATTTGAAACCAGCTTTAAATAATTATATAGCTATTTGTTAACTATTGCTCTATATAGAGACTCCATATTCATTCAGTGAACACAAGTTAGCAACTTCCACGTTGTGCCATATATCAAGACAAAGATGTCAGTTATAATTCTTCTTTAAAGAAATCAAGTTTAACTGGTGGAGTAACTCAAGAGTTAGAGTACCTGCCTAGCAAGCATTGAGGCTGAGTTCAAGCCCCAGTACCACAAAAAAGAAAGAAAAAAGAAATGAACAAAACCAAAAAATTTGTAAATAGCCACAAGTAATATAGTTAGTTATATGATAGAGAAAATATAAAGAACTCTAGAGAAAGACAACTCTGAAAGACACTAAGAAAGAGGGGCTAGCAAGTTAGGAGAAAATCCAGAATGAAAGATTAGAGGTTCAGTGATAGAATTGTTAATGATGTCATATACCACTTGGTTTCAGATGAAAGGTATACAATGGCTAGGAGATGTTTTTATATATAAGTTAAAATGGAATAGTCATGATGATAGTGTTAAATTTACACTACATTACATTTATCATATATTTTGAAAGTATGAAATTCTTCAGCATTTTTATTAGAAAAAGCAGTTACATTGTACACTTTATATATGCACAAAATCCAGCTATATTGCAAAAAAAAAAAAGAGCAAAATATAGATAGTGACCATTAGTTTGACACATAGGAGATTGTTCACAGTCTTAGTAATTCAGTGGAGTGCAGAGAAAGAGTGCAGATCAGTGCTAAGGAAGGGTGGAAAAGTATAGTTTGCTTTTTCACTAAGTTTGACTGCAAAGGAAGAGTGAGTGATGAAGTGGTAACCAGAGAGGTAAGAGGAATTAGACAGATTGTTACCTTAATCCACTCAGGAGTTGAGAGAAAAGTGGGGTTTTTTGTTGTTGTTCTTGCCTGTTTGTTTGTTTTTATGTAGGGGAAGCTGAGTTATATTTATATATATATTATGCTTATAAATATATAAAGTACATATTATATTTAGAAGAAATAAGAAATTTGATTTTGGATAAGAGTGAGAGAGGGTGATATATGGAGCAAGGTACCTGGAATTGGATCCAGACAGAGTTCAAGAAAAAGACTTACCCCTTCTACTACTATCACAATAGGGAAGAGGTGAAGGGTAGATATAAGATAATCATATAGGGCAGAGGGAAGAATTGAAGTAATTAAACTTGTGTTATCTAGTGACTATTTTTAATAGGTAAAGGTGTTAGGAATGGTTATAATTTTTTAATTGATTATATGATATTAGTAAGACAGCATTCAAGTAGCAAAAGTTGAAAAGATAGAATACTCTGAACATACTAAATCACTAATTTAAAATTATGACATCACTCATCTAGTAAGGTACTGTGCTGGGTAACTAGGACATACTTTCTGTTCCTGAACAGCTGATAGTGTTCTGATTTTACTGTTATGTAAATAGAATGATTTTTCAATAAGTTATGAATGTCAAAAGATTGAATTAGCCAAGTAAAAAATGTAAAAAGTAAAAGTAAACAATTTTTCACTTCCTCTTAGGAGGTTTTTCTTACCTTTGCTTTTGCCTCAGTCTTATTTTATTTTTTTTCTCTCAGAATAGCATAGGTATATTCTATTAGAAGTCCATTAATGTTTTACTAGTTTTTATCAAGTTAGGGATCCTGGGTTATTATTCATTTATCCACCATACATTTATTGAGTTAGTAGGTACTGAGCTAGGCATTGGGAAAATGAAGGTAAATGGATAGCAGTGCTAGACACTGTTCTAAGCAGTTTGAATGTGTTACATCATTTACAGGTCTATGAACTAGATGCAGTATTACCATTTAGCAAATACAGAAACAGGCACAAAGAGATTAAGCAATTTACCTAGAATTACATAGCTAGAAGATGGTAGAGCAGGGTTCAAATTCAGGCAAATGGACTTTTTTCTCCTTTCTGTTATGTACTATGCTATGCTGCTTTTCTGTAATAGAAAGAAGTGGTTAAGAAACAGTCCTTGCTCTCAAAAATGTATAGTCTGACATAAGTAGCAAATTGTGTTTAGAAATTATATCTCACTGGACTTCTTTGCATGAAAGAAAAGGAGACATTTTATGTCTTAAGGGTTCAAAGGGACTTGAAATATAAGGAAGCACAATGACTAATCTATGCTAATCTAATTAATTTGGCTGTTCTAAGACAGTATTCTGGTCTACTGTTCTTTTTACCTCAAAATGCTGAATTTGTTTATAATCATAAATACCAAATACCAAAAATAAAGTAACTTCTGGGTTGAGACCTTAAGAAATACATAATTACTTCATTGAATTTAGAATTAATTTGTATTGTAAGAATGATAATAATAAGGACAATCAGTTGAAATACTAGCTCTGCGTTTCCAAATAATAATTTTTTTTAACTACTTACTAAAATCTACCATGTGCCGCCTAGAAGATAGGCAGTTTGTCATCATTATCCTGTCATTAACAACAACCCTGAAAGATACTGTTATCTTCATTTCTTGGATATAGATATTGAGACTCAAAAGGGTTAAGTCATTGACCCAAGGACATGTATCCAGTAAATGGCAATACTGGGACTCAAATTTAAATCTCTCTAACTCCAAGCCCAATATATATTACTTACTCTGCTGCATTACTTCCCCAGAAGTAGATATTTATTTTTCAAAATGAGATAGTTCCAGGTTCTAATAGGAACTGTCATTTTCACTTTTTTCCAGTATTTTGTTTGATCATGTATCTTTTTCTTTTGTATTTATTTGCTTTATTCTCTAGCTACAGAAGAAAGGAAACCAGCTGAAGTTCTCATTGTCGAGGGACAACAGTATGCTGTTGTTGGGTAAGTAGCACATTTTTATCATTTGAGTCAATTATTTGAAATGTCAGTCTTTCTAGTTCCCTCTTGAAGTAAATTAGAATATTCTGATGAGCAATTTTAAGTCCTACAGAGTACTTAAAGGAAATTTTATGGATTCCCTTTTATTTTCTATATTCTATAGTATGGCTTACCCATTAGGGACTATACTGACTTAACAGAAGGGTTTGATTTTTCTCATATAACAAGAAATGTAGTTAGTCTAAGAGTGATGTAGTGGCTGCACAATGTTATAGCCATCCCAGGCTCTTGCTTTTTTTTTATAGCTTTCTTAATGTGTAGTATAATATAATAGCTTAATTTGTGGGCTCTAGGGCCCACAATGTATGTAATAGTTTGATACATAGAATTATTGTGAAAATTAAATAGTTGATGCTATAAAGCATTTAGCACAGTTCTAGCACCTAATAAATTGATAGTTATTTTATTATCATCACTTGAGTCATTAGATCTTTTACCAATAAATGTATCTCTAATTCAAGTTAACTGTGAAATATACCAATTCCAACCTTGTTTGTCTGATACTACACGCATTTGATTAAATTGGTAATTAGAACAGTATCTTCATTTTCTAGCCCAGACTGGCCTCAAACTTGCAATCCTCCTGCCTTAGCCTCCCAGGTACAGGCATGGCTCCACTATGCTCAGCTATTCATATTCTTTAATAGCACTTCACAGTTTTAAGCATTTTCATGTATATAAATGTTTATGATCTCATTTGATCTTTACTACCACTTTGTGAAATAGATGTGTCAGGGATTATTGTTTCCTTTCTGTAGCTACTAGAATTGAAACTTAACAAGGTTAAGTAGTTAACCTAAAATGATATAAATGACATCAGAATTAGAATTTTAGGTCTTAACTCCCAGACCAGCATTCACTTTTACTTTTCTTCTTGGCATTTTGTCTCTTTTTTTATTATTATTATTATTATTATTTTTGCAGTACTGGGGTTTGAACTCATAGCTTCATGCTTGCTAGGTAGGCACTCTACCCCTGGAGCCACTCCGACAGTGGCTTCTTATCTCTTAAGTGTTTTGTGAAATAGCTGTCCTCTCCAAGAAGAAAGTAGTAGTATAATAGAATTATTTCTTTATGCGTCTGTTTCCCTGTTAAGACTCTGAGTTCTGCAAAGTTGGGGAATATCATGTCTTAGCATTTTTATTTTTCTTGGCACCATAATAAGCACTCAATAAGTAGGTATAAAATTGAAGCTTTTCCTCAATCTGTATTCAAGTGTCTGAAGTACATACAAAACCAAAGCCTCCTTTCCTTTCTTGTTTCTGGTAGAACAAAGCTTTTTTTCAACTTCCTTATAATCTCACCCCTGCAATCTAATTGTGATTTCCTTTCTTAATTATTAACAATCCATTATCTTGTTGCACTTCATGAGCTTAAAGGGATATGGTTCTCTCTGGCTATCTAGTTTTTTTACTCTTAAAGCAAAGAGGCCATTGAACAAAAAACCAGAGTTCTCCTGCTAAAGGGGGAGCTATTAAGATGACAAATGGTGCAATGGACTCATGCTAAGTAGAGCAGTCAGAAAGAGTATGTATGCATGGAGAGTAATGTATGGCCTAACAGGTTAGCTGTTATAAAGGCTGGACACTCTTTGTTGAATCACTAGTTCCTGATACTTTTCAGACATTTATAAAGCATTAATTTATGTGAATTTCTCATTTCTAAGCATCTCAATGAATACAGATATCTCTTCGAATGTGGTTTTTTCCCCCTTAATTTCAATCTCATTTAACCTTCCACTAACGTGTCTTTTCAATTTGTGACATGTTCTGCTCTGGAGCTGATAATTTACCATCTTTGGAGAGTCTTTTGTGATATCCCAAGAAACTTCTTAGGAGATAATATGCTCAGTAGAAGCCATTATAGCTTATCTTTTATCTCACTAAGGAAATCTGTGGAGGAGGCTCCCTTTTTTAATTCAAAAGCTCTAGTTGAGGACCTACTTATATAGTTGAGCAGAAATACTGGTTAGTCTTTTTGTCAGTGTCTCTGAATTGGTCAAAGAATGGAATATTAACCATATTGAAGAGACTTCTTTAAGAATACCATACGGAGAGTGTATGCTTACAGCACAAAATCTGATGAGCCACTCATTGTTATTGTTGTGCAAGTGCTGACTCTGCAATTGCACAATTCTGAACATAAGTGATTCCTTAAATGTTGTGCACTAGGCACTTCTCTTGCCTCACATTAGGCCAGAAAACATAATGTTACATTTATCATGTTCTCAAAGATGCACTGAACTGGTAAGTAATTTGATTTTTATATGCCATATCAATTTGATTTTTCTTGTCTTGATTACCTCTGGATGTCTTTCTTTTCTTATAGAACTGTATTGCTGTTAATAAGAATAATCCTTGAATATTGCCAGTGTGTGGATAACATCCCATCTGTTACTACTGACATGCTTACTCGTCTGTCAGATTTATTGAAGGTGTGTATGACTTTACCCCTTTATGGAAAAATAGTTGGAAGAATTAATTCATTAGGCTGTAACTAATCTTTCAACTCTAAGACACTTCAAAGTCAAGTTATCTTTAAGACATTAATTTTGTATATTTGATCATGGTTGCATCACAACATGTTACTGGAAAAAGGGCTGCCTGCTTCCTTCCCACTCAACATTTAGTGATTCCTCATTATACCCATAGAGTTGTTAATGACATTGGAGACAGGAGATGATTTGTTCGTTAGGTGCTGAACATGACTGAGGCCACTTAGGTCAAAAAACCTGGACTGGTTTCAAATGTGCATGGAAGGAATTCACTGAACTTTACAAAATTCATCTCACTAAGGTTAGCGATTTTTCTTACATCATTCTTTCAGAACCATTGATGTAAATAAAAATGTGATAATTTTATTCAACCATTTCATGGTAACAGAAATTTTAACTACTAGTATATGGGAAAGGCTTTATTCTTTTCCAGCCTCTAATTTGGCCATTAATTTTGCCCTAAACTTTGAGTTTTAGTCAAGAAAGGTTTTTATTATTTTGAAAATAGAACTTTTCAGTAAGAATGACTGAAACTGAACTAGTTTTGTAAGTGCAAATTAAAGATTTATTTTTAAAAACTGATTTTCAAAATTCTCCATTTTTTTTCTACCACAAGTAAATGTTATCATTTAGAATATCTCTCCTGTTTTTATTATTAAGTAAATAGATCCTAATTGCTTTTACTAGAAAATTCATGGTCCTTGAATGAGAAGAAAGAGGAATTTATTTTCAGAACAGTTAACACATTGCCAGCATATAAAGGATGGTTTTTAATAAATCGTTGAGTTTATTTTTTGTATGTTTTTTTTTTCTCCTTCCTTTGTTAGTACTTCAATTCCAGAAGTTGTCAGTTAGTTCTTGGAGCTGGTGCACTGCAAGTTGTTGGACTAAAAACAATAACTACAAAAAATTTGGGTAAGGATTCTTTCATTTAATTCACATCCTGAGGTATTATAATGATGTCACTTTTCTTACCATGTTGCATTACAACAGGTGTTTTCAAAGACTATAAAATTAGCAAATGCTACTTTATTCTCTTATGTATTATAACTGAAAAACCAACTTCAAGGGAAATGCTAAGAGAAATTTTCACTGTAACAAGCATATGTTATTTGGAAGTTGCACCACTCTTTGAAATGCTGTGATGTAATTTTTATGAAATACTTTGGGATGAAAAGTATCTGAATATCAGGAGAGAATGAGTTGTCTCATTACTGTCCTCATACTGTTAATGCTCACACTTGAGTCCATTAGAAAAGCACGTTCATTACATTTTATACTCAATTAGTTTCTCACCAGCCTTCTACCATGCTGCTTTTTGTTTATAAAGTAAGCTGGGGTCTGTATAAAATTAAGTGACATTTTTTACTTAATTTGATATGTAATTAGAATCAGCGAATATCTTTTTTTGTTCCTATGTCCTGAATCTTCAGCTCTTTCTTCACGATGTTTGCAGTTAATTGTGCACTACATTCCTGTGATCCGGGCTCACTTTGAAGCTCGGCTACTTCCTAAGCAATACAGCATGCTTAGGCATTTCGATCACATCACTAAGGTACTTTTTCCTGTATTTTCTATTGGAGTTTCATATATGTAATTCCTTAATTGTTAAATATTTTTTAGATGTGTCTCAAGGACTTTAAATACAATATTACTTCTCATTACAGGATTACCATGACCACATAGCTGAAATATCAGCTAAGCTTGTAGCGATAATGGATAGCTTATTTGACAAGCTGTTATCAAAGGTAATGATTTATGGAAATCATTAAGTTTTGCTTAAAGGCACTGTGACTTTTCATTTTATAGAGAATCCTTTATTACAAGATGTGGTAACAGAATCTGAATTTTCAGAAGGCATTTACCCATTGGTAGAATTTTTAGCTTTTTTTTTCCAGAAAAATATAACCATCCTTTGTGATCAAGACCACCCATAGTGGTCTGACCAACAGTAGTCTAACAAATCAAATTCCTCAGAGTTTAAAAAACGACTCAGTAAAATGTTCACATTTCTAAAATAGTTGATAGTTGTCTTCTAAAGGCTGGGCAAGGGGAGTAGGGAAGATGATCCCAAGGATAATGAAAACTGTACACAAAAGTATTTTTATGTTGGCTGCATTGACAAATGTGTACCTTCTTCAAAATAAACTTAGTTTGACACCCTCCTAGAGACAGAATTGAAATATTAAGATAAAAATAGGGGGGAAAAGATAATATTTGAGATAAAGTCTGCTACTTATTTCTAGCTTGAAAATGCAGTCTGAGGGCCTCTGTTATTTCCCTCATAGATAACCATTTCAATGTTTGTTTCTTCTTTGCTTTTCATTCTCAATATGTCATTAAATAAAGTAATGTTCCCCAAAGAATTCTCAGTCATATTGGGAGGTTATCTTCAGAAAAATGTCACTTAATCAGCTACAATTGCTTTTGCCCTAGCCCTCTTTCTTTTCCCTGAATTCGTCTGGGAAATTTCTACTGTCTTACAGAGACAGTAGAAATTTTATAATTTCAACATTTGAAGGTGTATTTAATGTATTCTTTTTGCTCAAGATCATATTTAGAATAACCTTACTACAGCAAGGAACTTTAATTTGCTTTTTCTCCTACTTGCATCCTTGAGATTCTGAAATGGCAAGACTGCAGGCACTTACAAATCATAAAAGGGCAAGATAAAGAGTGCCTGTTCACACACAGACACATGCCCAGTCCTTTGAAAATGACAGTGAGAAAGAAGTGCTTGAAAAATAATATTATATTTGTGTAGTAGTTTTTGAATTTTGGTCATAGGACCCTTTTATTTTCTTAAAAACAATTGAGGACCCTAAAGAGCTTTTGTTTCTGCAATTTGTATCTATCAGTAAGTATCATATTAAAAATTAAAACTAACATTTTAAAGCATAAGAATACACAAACAGAATTTCTATTGGCCTTCAGAGTGATGACTTCATCAAAAATCACCTAAAAATTCCCACTGTTCAGGCATAAGAGAATGAGAGTAAAAAGAAATAAATAAAATCTTAGTATTATTATGAAAATAGGTTTTCCTTATCAGAGTCTCTGAAAGGGTCTGTGACTCCCACAAGTCCCCAGACCACACTTTGAGAATCTGGTGGTATTAATACAGATATAAGTTTATTAAGAAACTTAAAGAATTTGTAGTTATATGCAAACATATTTATATATAACTACTAAATTAGTTTTTATTTTTGTATGAAGAAAAATAATTATTTATAAATTCTCTACTTTCTTCATGGGTGTCAAGTACAAGCTAAATTCAAAAGCAATTCTATTCCTCTAGCTTCCTTTCTGAAATAAGGCATTCTTCTATGGAATAAAAGTCAACAACATTTGTCTGCCCTCAATAAGACAGAGGACTGTAAACTTCTAACAGTGTAGACTAAAGTAAATGTTAAATAATAGAACTAGTCATAGGCTGTGGAATATAATGAAGCAAGGCCAAAGATGTGCCAGGACTCTTAAAACCCTGGCTTTAATGTGTCCTTTTTGGTCATTTAAAGAGTTTTTAAAAAAAAAAATTGTAACTGTGGCTAGATTTTGTTCCATGACAGCTTTCTTACCTTTTTCATTAAGAAAAAAATTTATCTAATGAGCTTTCTGTATGTTCATATTTATCATCTATATTTGTTGTTAACATTTTGCTTTTCTTTTTGCTTAAATATTTACAGTAAATTTGAGGTATTGTGGTATTTTATCCCTAAGTACTTAAGTAAAGATTTTTTAAAACTAAGAACACATTCTTCTATAACCACACTACCACCCATTATCTGCACCTGAAGATATTAATAATAATTTTTCATTATCATCTGATATTTCTTCTAATATTTGAAATTTAACCAATTGTCCCCAAATGTCTTTTTACAATGATTTGAACAAAGGCTTCTACATTATTCACTTGTTGCATTTGGTTATTACATCTCTTAGGGTTTTTGTTTTTTAAATAGACTAGATCACTCTCCTCCCCATTTGTTGTTGTTTTTGTTTTTAATATCACTTACTTAAAGAGTGTGGCCAGACTTTTATAACATAATGTTCTCTCTACTTTTTTCCCTGGCTTCTGTTACTGGTCATGTTATACTCTCCCTGTATTAATAAGCCTCCTTTTGCCATTCCTTATTCTATTTGCTTTCATGTGTTGCCCAGGAGTTTGATCCTGTTTCTAGTTCTTCCAAAATAGCAGGAGGATTTGGTTTGGGTTTAGCTTTTTCTTTTCTTACCTATAATTTAATTTTGATAAAGAATTACACAGTAATAATCTAGGCTGATTGTGAGAAGCTACTAAAAAAGGGTACCATTGCTTGGGTAAAATGAAATAGTAATATTTCATTATACTAACAGCTAAAGCAATGTCTTAGTCACTCCACCTTTATTCATTTATTCATTCAGTAAGTTATGTGCAGTCCATTGTGTTAGGTAATGGAAGGATACACAGGGTGAATCAGCCATCCATTTTGTCCTCAGATTAAAGACAGACAGATTAGGGAAAATTAAGTTGAAGAGATCTCTGAGATAACACCATGAGCAAACATGTTAGAAATCATAAGAAGCCAATTCAGTGTCAAGGTTTTAGAGTCAGACCTAAATTCAAATCATATGCTTGTTACGTATTAGTCATTGAGGACCCTGGGCAAATTACTAATCTTCTTAAGCCTCAGTTTCTATCTCTAAATGGAGATAATAGCAGAGCCTGCATGACAAGGTTGTAGTAGGGATTAATGCCATGGTCTGTATGGAGCACTTTTCTTTTATTGTGTATCTGACTTTAGCAAGTTCCAGTAAATGTTGGCTGCTAATATTTTGATGTGATTAATAGTAATGAAGATAACAGTACCTTTTAGCACTTTTTAGTATCTTTTAGAGGAATGGGGGAGAGATGTTGAAAATTAGTAGAGATCTGTGACTGTCAATGAAAAGCTAAGCAATTTAAATCAGCTCTATTGAGGTATAATTTGAATTCAGTAAAATTCACCCTCTCTAAGAGTTTAAATTGATGGCTTTAAGAAATAGGTATAATAATGAATCGACCACAGTCAGTATATAGACGAACATCACTAGTAAACATTCTCTTGGGTACTTTTAGTGTTGCCTTTTCCAGAATGTTGTTTAAGTAGAATCATATAGGATGTAGCCTATTGTGCAAGGCTCCTTCCATTCAGCATAATGCTTTTGTAATTAATGGATGTTATGTGTCTGTGGTTTGTTCTATTATAGAATAGTGTCTATTGTATGGGTGTACTACTATTTATTCATCCATTCACTCATTGGTAGACATTTGGGTTTTCTCCAATTTTTTGGCTGTTACAACTAACGCTGTCATAAAATCTGGGTACAGTCTGTGTAGGTATGTGTTTTCATTTCTTTAGTGTAAATACCTTGGAATAAGAATGATTACTGTGGATTATGGAAATGTAAAACTTTATAGTAACTTTAAAAATACTGCCAACTTATTGTCCATAATATATCCTTCTGCCTTCCTTCTTAGTACTGAGTTCTAACCGTTCTTCATCTTCATCACTTCCTAGTGTCTGCCTGATTGCTTTTTGTTGTTGTTTTTTGAGATAGGGTCTCTATGTAGATCAGGCTGGCCTCAAACTCGAAAGCCTCCTGGCTTAGCCTCCCAAGTGCTGGGATTACAGGCAAGTACCACAGTGCCTGGCTGTCATGCTTGTCTTTATTAATATTAGTCACTAATAGGTGTGTCAGGAGTGATACCTCACTGTGTTTGTGTTTTAGTACTGGGGGTCAAACCCAGAGCCTCATGTGTGCTAGGCAAGCACTGCACCAGTGAGCTATAACCTGGCCCCTCATTGTGTTTTTTTTTTTTTTTTATTATGTTATTGTTGTACTGGGGGTACCGTGACATTTACAGAAGTTCTTACAATGTATCATAGTTGAATTCACCCCTTCCATTATTCTCCTTTATCCCTCCCCCCATTAGCTTACATAATGACTAATCAAGTTCAGAATCCTTGTTTGCTTGTTTGCCATCCATATGTTTTCTTTAATAAAGTGTTCAAATTTTTTGCTCTTTATGTATGTTGGGGGGTTGTGTTTTACTGGGATTTAAACTCAGCTTTGTGCTTGCTAGGCAGGTGCTCTACTGCTTGAGCCACATCTCCAGCCCTTTTTTCTTTAGTTATTTTTGAGATAGGGTCTTGCTTTTTTGCCTGGGCGGGCCTGGACTACAGTCCTCCTATTTTCTACTTCCTTCCATAGCTGGGATGACGGGCATATGGCCACTGCACCCAGCTATTGGTTGACATGGGGGTTTCATGAACTTTTTGCCCAGGCTGGCCTTGAACTGCTTGTTCTTCCCGATCTTAGCCTCCCAATTTTTCTTTCCTTTTCTTTTTACCTTTCCTTTTCTTTCCCTTCTTTTTTCTTTCTTTAATTGGTAGTACTGGAACTTGACTCCAGGCCTTTCAAAATCGGGTTATCTTCTTATTGAAGGATAAGAAAATGGGTTATCTTCTTACTGAGTTATAAGAATTCTTTATATATTTTGGGTACAAGTCTTTTATCAGTTCCATGGCTTATGTAAGTATTTTGTCCAAGCCTATGGCGTATCTTTTCATTTGTTAACAGTGTCTTAAAAAGAGTGGTTTTGTTGTTTGTGATATACTTGGCCTCATTTTTGCTTAGGCAGGTATTCTATTGCTTGAGCCATGCTCCCCAAACTAAGAGCAGTTTTTAATTTTGATAAAATCCAATCTGTTTTTTTCTTCTTTTATTGTCCCTGCTTTTTCCTTGCCTAAGGAATCTTTGTGTAACTCAAAGTGAGAAGATGTTCTCAGGTGTTTTCTTCTACAAATTTTATTGTTTTGGGTTTTATATGTAAGACTATAGTCCATTTCTAGTTGACTTTTTTTATTAAATCAATATTTGGACTAGTTACGACGTAATGGCATTTGTTCAGGTATTAAGAATTATTAAAGATCTTATTTATTTCTCTATGAGGCAATTTTGTCCCTATATATCCTGAGGACACTCAGAAATGTTGAGTATGTTTCTATTTTTTACACCTTAGGGAATGGGGTAGGTGGTACTGCTAACTAGTGAGTAAAGACCAGGATGCTGCTAAATATTTTACAAAATATAGGACAGCACCCATAACAAAGAAGTAACCTGTCTATAATGTGTACTATTGAGTATGGAGGTTGAGACAATTTGTAAATTATTTTGTACAATAATTGTACTAAAGTACAAATTGTACAATAATTGTACTAAAGTACAAATTATTGTACAAAGTAATTTGAAAGTAATTTGTACTAAAGTACAAATTATTGTATAAAATAATTTGAAAGTAAAGTTGATGGGACTTCTGCTGATTCAATACAAGAAAACAAAGGAAAAGAAGAGTATAAGCTGAGTTAGAGATTTCAAGTCCACGTGACCAAGAGAGTTATAATACTAGTAACACTAGTAGAAACATGGAAAAGGAGCAGGATTGGGAAAAGTTACTAAATTTGGAAGTCTTTACTGATGTCTTTACTGATTTTTCCAGAGAGAAATTTCAGAAAATATTATAGTAGGGGAAGATAGTTAGGGTGGTGACGAGCACGGTATTTTAAGGCTTGAGAGTAAAGGAACACCATTTTAAGTTTAAATGACTGAGGAAATGTGATAGTGACCGTAAAATGGAAAAAAAGGTAACTTAAGGGAAAGTAGGGATGAAGCAAGGCTTTGGGGGTTAGGTTAGTTTTTTTAGGGCTGCCTAAACAAATGACCACAGATTCAGTGACTTAAAACAACAGAAATTGTTCTTTCACAGTTCTGGAGACTAAAAAAGTCCTAAATCAAGGTACAAGCCAGGCTTGTAGCTACATCACACCAGTTATCTATTCCTTTGTGTCTGAATTTCCCTCTTCTTTCTTTTGTAAAGACCTCAGTCTGTAGATTTAGCATTCACTCAGTCCAGTAGGACCTCATGAAGTACCAGGTAGACATGAATTTTGGGAAGACACTGTTCAACCCAGTATGAAGGGATACTTAAGATGATGTATCCACACTGAAATGATGCTTCATATCTACTAGAATTACTTGGGGTGGCAGTAGGGGGCGGAGAATAGGCAATAACAAGTTTTGGTGAGGAGGTGGAGAAACTGGAGTCATCATACATTGTTAGTGGTATTGTAAAATAGTACGCCCATATTGGAAAATAGTTTTGTGTTTCTTCATAAAGTTAAGCATGAGTTACCATATGGCCCAATAATTCCCTACTAGATATATACCCAAGAAAGGTGAAAATATTTTTGCACACAAAAATCTGTACACTATTCATAATAGCCAAAAAATAGAAACAACCCAAATATCCATCAGTTGGTCAATGGATGAACAAAATGTAAAATGTGGTTTCTCTAGTCAACGGAATATTATTCAGAGCCATGAAAAGAAATGAAGTACCTGTACATGTTACAGTATGAACGAGCTGTGAAAGCTAAGTGAGAGAAAACAGTCACCAGTGCCACATATTTTATGATTCTATTTATATGAAATAGCCAAGAAGTAAAAGATCTGGGATTTGAACCTAAGCACTTAGTTTTAAGATTGGAAGCAGCATATGTTCTTAGCCACTATTTTAGTTCCACAAAGTAGATAAAGACATTCTTCCCAAGATTTCTATGATTAGCACAGATCACAGTTAAAGTATAAGCTTGGGCTCTATATCAGAGTTAGATATGTGGACAGGCAAAAAAACATGTCTCCAGAAATAGTGGAGACAATTATAATCCAGAGGACTAAACATTAATTCTCATTATTTTTCCCTTCCAGTATGAGGTGAAAGCTCCCGTTCCTTCTGCCTGTTTCAGGAATATTTGTAAACAAATGGCAAAAATGCATGAAGCTATATTTGATCTTCTTCCAGAAGAACAAACACAGGTGAGAAGTAATTCCAAAAACTATTTTGTTCCTATAACCTATCATATCTATGCAGATTGGAGTGTTTTTACATGCTTTTGCATAACTAAACTTAGTTCATGTTCCCACATATTACTATCTTTAAAGGTTATTTATATTGAGGAATGGAACATGGATAAAAATTTCTAATTTCAAAGTACCCTTTGTTCTGAGTGGTGAGAACTGTAGCTTTGCTATATAGTCAATAATTCTGAAAAGCAAGTCTTCTATTTGTCCATTGTCAGTGGTCCCAGATTCCATGTAGGTCACTTAGTACATTATTAGTTTGAAAATCAGAGTTGGCATTTATCAGTGAATAATACTTTACTTGCTATGATTGCAATCCAAATTGGATATGAAAGGAATTAGTGATGGAGTTAATAAGATTAACACACATAGCTAACTCAGTCTGCTTTATCATTAATATTTATTAGATCAATCTAAGTGATCTTCAACAGGGAAAACAGCAAAATGGGGACTCTTGGGCACCTCTCACCTCTGTCACCATTGTATTTTCTTGCAGAAGTATTGCCACAGCGTTCTCTTCACTCTTCAGTGACACATCTGCCCCCACACTCCTTGTTTCCCTCTCCCAGAACTTCAGAGGTTCCAGCACTATTTTTTTTTTTCCTCCTTCCCCAGTCTTTACTTACTTTAACTTACTCCCTTTAAACTAGGTGATTTCATTCAAGCTTACTTGCAGAATGATACAATGTTAGAATACATGCCCAGTTTTGTGACAAATGAGTTTAACTTTCACTAGGATTTTTGCTGTTCAGGCAACTTGTTTTCTTTGGTTTGTCTCTCTAACATTGGTTGAGTGCATGGAAATGTTTATTTGGGGGCAGGGAGTAGCTTTCTTGGTGTCTTTTGTCTACTCTTGCTCTTACTAGTCTTCTTTCTCACATACCTCATCTCCCTCCTATGCAAAATATACCATTTTTCTTCATGCTTTCCTAGGTTTTCCTTAATCACACCAACCTAATGACTAAATATCATCTAATTCCTAAAGGAGTTAGGCTTTCTGGGACTGGGAGGAACCTTAAGATATGGAGTATACATTAAGATTTCTTTCTTCCCTTCTCATTACTTCCCTAGTCATCCCATTCTTCTCATCCCGCAGTAAGATCTCCCTCCTCTGACATTCTAATTTGAGAGCAAGACAGCCAGGTCCTATATCTGTGCATATAGGCATTCATGTATTTATATGAAAACTAAAGGGGTACTCTTGTCAAAGCTAGGCAAGGGCAAGAGTATAGGCTTTATGTCACTATTGCCACCAATAATTACCAAGATATCCATGGGTGATTTTATATATACATTTTTTCCTATAGAAAAAGTGTTTGTCTGCCAAATCATTTCCATAGGTTAATTTTGTATAATTCTAGGTCATATTTCCCAAAGAAGTATTGGGTTATTGCATCAAAAATTTACATGCAGGAGCAATAAAATACTTTAAATGATTTTATTAATTCTAAGTATAAAAGTGTCTTTCCCTTTATCATCTTTTTCCCCTCTATCATAAAGTTCCTAGTTAGTATATTTTAAAACTTTCCACTAATCTTTGTTCTTTTAGTTGTCATAGTTGATCTCACTTAGATATATTCAGAAAAGCAGTCTTAGTGCCAAAAGAACTACTGTCAAGAAGAGTAAAAAGTGTTTCTGTCCAACTAAGGAGGAAAACCATGGTGAAATAGCAATCAAATACTTTCAGAGAACATTTATAAACTGTACGTCAAAACAAAGTTTGTATTTTTTAAAGTACATTCTCCAAATAATATTGATAACTCACCTATTTGTGTCTTCTATTTCAGGAGAATTTTAAGAAACTTAGTTTTATTTCTTTTTCAGATGTTATTTTTAAGAATTAATGCAAGTTACAAACTCCACTTGAAAAAGCAGTTATCTCACTTAAATGTGATAAATGATGGAGGACCTCAAAATGGGTATGATTTTCAATTTTTTTTTACCATATACTCTCATATTGAATTGTTCTAATGATTGATTTTTATTCTTTATGCTGTCCTTTTCTGCTGTAATTATGAAAATGAAAACAAATTGTCAAAAAAATTGACAAAAAAATCAGCAACTTTTTGCTTATTTTCCTCCTGTGGAAGTGATGTCTCTTTTTCCGCCTATGTTAAAGTGGTTTATAAACGGTCAGTTCTTCACTGACTTTATCTGTTTTGAGGCACTGTAGGTTAGTAATGCCTCCTTAAGATTCCCAGGAGTCGTCTCCTCGTCAGGTAGGACTTAACGTCCTGCTTAGTAGCCCTGTGGCCATGTGAAACTCAGGTAACTGCTGTGCCTCATTTATAAAATGACAAGAAGAAACTCTGCCTTAGTTCTTTCACAGGGTTATGAAAAATAATGTTTTTTTTTTTTTTTGGCAGTAATAGGGTTTGAACACAGGGTCTCACACTTGCTAGGCAAGTATGCAATCACTTGAGCCCCCCCTCTAGCCCTGCATATATTTTATTATAAAGTATTGAACAAATTGTATGTGTCACTGTTGAAACAGTATGGCAGAAAAAAAGAGAAAACAGTTTCGAATCAATAAACTTGAGTTAAGCCCTAGTTTTGCTACTTAACAGCTTATGTGTAAGTTTGGACAAATCACTTGGGCTCTCTGAACCTTAATTTTAGTAGATTGAAAAATAGAGCTAGGTGGTGATGCACACCTGCAATGCCAGCACTTGAGAGGCTGACTTTTAAAAGAGGATTGTGAGTTTGAGGGCAACCCAGCTACATAGTGAGGGTCTCAAAAAGTAAATTAAAATAAATAGGATGATGATAAAACCTCTCTCACAGGATTTTTGTGAAGAGCAATGTAGGTAAATGTATGGGGCTGTGGATATAGCTCAGCGGTCAAGTACTTGCTTAGCATGGGTGAGGCCTTAGGGTCAACTGTCAGCACTGAGAAAAAAATATATATCGAGAAGAGATTTTATAAAAGTACAGCACTGATCATTTAATTACACCTTAAGGTAATTTCCTTGGTATGTTAACTATCATGAATTTTTAAGAATAAAATTTTATTCCCTTAAATGTTAAATTTCAGGCTTAAGTCTAAAAATTAGAGAAAAATAAAAATGTATTTCAAAGTCAGAAGTTGGGTCTGCCATTTAAAAAGCACCCTGAATTAATTTTGCAAAAAAGTATTTGGAGGCTTTAGTCTTCTGAATCTGTCCACCAAACTGAATTTAGGGGTTTTAAGCAAAAGTATGATATTCCCCCTTGATTATTACCTGACTCTTCTTTTTAAAGAATTGTTTTCAAAAATTTCAGAGCCATAGAAGAATTAAAGCCAATGTAACAAATACTGAATACCTCTCACCTAGGTTTACTGTTAAAATCTTGCTACGTTTTCTTCACCACTCATGCTCTCACCACACTTCATATACACATCCCTTTTGCCAAACATCAAAAAGAAAAAACCCGTAGGCTACAGTCATCATGAGTTTAACCCCTAAGTACTTTGGCACTTATCTCTAAAAAATCACCACATACTTATATAACCATATGTTTTCCTAAGAAAATCAGCATGAATTTGGTAGCATAACATCAACATACAGTTAGATATCTATTTTCTATTTTTTTTTTTCTTGCTCTGCTGGGAATTGAACCCAGGGCCTTATGTGTGGTTGGCAGTTGCTCAGCCACTAAGCTACATTACCAGCCCCAGTGAATTTTCAACAAGAACACCATACTGTACATATTTCTCACTGGATGTCAAATGAGACATACAAATGGTACATACATATGGTGGTACCTGCTATTGAGTTTTCTTTGAAAGGATAGCAGCGTATTAAGAATTTAGACTTGCCAGGCACCAGTGGTTCACACCTGTAATCCTAGCTACTCAGGAGGCAGAGATCAGGAGGATCACAGTTCGAAGCCAGCCTGGGCAAGTAGTTTGAGAGAACCTATCTCGAAAACACCCTTCACAAAAAAGGGCTGGTGGAGTGGCTTAAGGTGTAGGCCCTGAATTCAAGCCCCAGTACAGCAGGAAAAAAAAAAAAAAGAATTTAGACTTGCACTGATGGCTTACACCTGTAATCTTAACTACTAGAGAGGCAGAGATCAGGAAGATCCAGATTCAAGGTCAGCTTGGGCAAATAGTTTGTGAGACCTTATTTTGAAAATAACCCAACACAAAAAAAGAACTGGCAGAGTGGCTCAAATGGTAGAGCACCTTCCTAGCAAGCATGAAGCCCTGAGTTCAAATCCCAGTGTTCCTCCTCCCCCCTAGAAAAAAGAATTTAGATTCTTTATACTGTGACCTAAAAAGTCTATACTACTAAAAATAGACTACCTACCCCATTTACTTTTATTCCTATGACTAAATCTGGGTGGGATGATTGATTGGTTGTCTTCAGACCAACAGTTCTGAAGACTCGTGAGCTATATTTTCTTTGTTAATATAGCTGTGTGGGGTCAGTATGACCTTTGAGGTCCTCATTGTCACTTACAGAAACTAATTCTGTGTAGGTCTGTTCGTGTCTTTGAATGATTTCTTGAAAGATAAATTCTTTGAAAATTAACCTCTATGATCTAAGGACATAATGAACTATCTGCTTAAGAGGACTTTTTGTTCCTGAAATCACTCTAAAAAATGTACTTTTTCTTTTTTGAGGTAAAAATCAGGTGGGGGGAGGGAGGCAGGGTGGAGAAATGACCCAATGTATGCACATGTGAATAAATGAATATAAAGTAAAATAAAATACATAGTATTCTCATAAAAACAAAAACAAAAAAAAATCATGTAACATGAAATTAACCCAGTGGCATGCAGTGCCTTCAATGTTGAGCAGCCACCACCAATGCCTAGTTCCAGCACATTTTCACTGCCCGGAGAACAGCCCTGCCTGCTTTTTCTCCAAGATACTTTTTAAATATAGAAAACATAGAGGATAAGATATTTGTGTTCCTGCTAAGTAGAATTGATCATTGCTACCATTTGCCATTTTTCACTTGAAAAAGTGTTTATTTTTTAAATGATATTAAAAATGGCATTCCAAATGAAGCTAAATATACCTTGATATCCCATCTACAGTCTCAGTCCCTTTTCCCTTAACCTTTAGGCCACATTTCTAGTGAATATGATCTATATCCTTTCAGTCCTTCTCATTTATTGTCTCTTTACTTATGAAATATATAGAGCTATTCAGTAAATTTACCTGTACAAAATATTGCACATATGCAGCCTTTGTTTTTTTTCAATTTGATATGAAAAGTCAGACCTCCATATCCATAGATTCAACCAACCACAGATGGAAAAGTCATAAACAATGTCTGTATTGAAAATGCACACCTTTTGTTGTTACCATTACTCCCTAAACAGTATGGGATCCTAAGAGAAATACATTGACATTTGTCCCTAGGAATTCTGAATATCAAATAATATTCTAGCAGCTAACATAGGAATCTATGAGTATTGTTCCTTTAATTACCCAAATAGGGTAAAACTTAAAATTGTTTTTTTCTCCAATGTTTAGGTTGGTCACAGCAGATGTAGCTTTTTACACTGGAAATCTTCAAGCCTTGAAAGGCCTTAAAGATTTGGACCTAAATATGGCTGAGATCTGGGAACAGAAGAGATGATAACATGCTGCAAACTGGGTAGTTATCTGACCATGGGATGTGTGTTTCTGAAGAAAACTTGGAAGCCTGTGTTTTAAGAACTGACCCTGGAACCCAAAGTGAACTGAGGTGGGGGAAAGGGAAAAGGAAATTATCAGTGTTGGGAAAACTGGATTCAGTGGGATCTACAAAGAATGCCATTTTTGTACATCCTTCAGTGAGGAGTAACTGATCAGGTGTCTATATAACATTTTTCATTCTCTCTGGAAACAGACTCAGGTTTCTTTGGACCAAATCCAAAAGAACACATAGCTGTAACACAGCTGTAGTTGACTAGAATGCTCTGTATACTTTATATTTAAAAATGCTTTGCATTTCTTCCAGTGCAATGAAATTCATACGGTGTCCCACCTTATTTAATGATGGTACAATTTAAAATATTAAAATCTTAGTCAACCTCTGTAGAAAGTTTTCTCTATGAAAGTAAAGCTGTTTGAAAAATTATTTTTTTACAGATCTTTCTATAAAAAAATAAACATCTTTTGATTGCTTGGATTTAGGAATTCAATTTTTGTTTTAGTGACCAATGTTAAGTTTTAGGCTTTGTGTGTTGTATATTTAATCTTTCTACTACCACCATATGTCAACTGGGTAAAGCCTCAAACAGTCTAAATATATACAAGTAATAAGATATTTGCATTTATGCAACTACTAATTTAATTACTTTTCAGAAGTGGTATATAAAAGGCTACAGTTTAATAGCTGTATTTTTATAAAAGTATCTATGAAGGGTTTGGGTTTTTGGGTTTTTTCCTCCTTTTTATTTCTAGCAGAGATAAGAATATGTATTCATATAATATGCCTACTTGTGAGTTCTCATTTTTAACATTTAGATAACATATGAAGTATGGCCCTCTTAGATTCTTAAGTTACTTTCACTATGTATATGAACAATGACCAGGGAGAAACAGAACTTTTAAAATGTAGGTTACTGTGTTGGGGCCAGAAATACAAGGTGATGAGTAAGTTATTTAAAGATTTTTATAATACCTACCTTCAAAATTAGATTCAGCAGCACTCTACAAATTAAAGTGCCTGTGCCTCACCTCACACCAAGAATCTTGCCTAACCCTGTCAGAGTGCCTAATCTTGTGGTGATTATGTACAATGAAAGTCTTATTTTGTGCTCTTCAGTTTCAGAAAAGGAAAGCTTGTTTTCTTTCCTTTATCATTACAGAGGTATGTCGTCATTGGTTCTTCAACTGTCTGTCTAAAATAAAGCTGTAAAAAATTTCCAGACTTTAAAAGACAACTGTTTTTAATGGTACAATATCCAGTGAATTTTAAACAAGCAGCCTGCTCAGAACAAGTGTGGAAGAATTAGAAGGTCCAGTTTGATTCTTAAAGAAAAGGCATACATTGAACTACCAGCTGATTTGGAAGGGTTATCATGAACACTTTTCAGTGCTAACAAGCAAGCTTCAAGAAGTGCAGTTTTTAAGGAAAGAGAACTTCTAAAGAAGTTATATCCTCACACCATTTTACTAAAGTGTAAGGATGGGAAAGAAATACCCTACTGCTTACCCCACCCTTCAGCCAGAAAAGAAACACCACTTTGTTTCATGAAGTAAATGAAATCATGTGGAAATCATGGCAGGCATCCCAACTTTAGAACTAGATGAAAGGTACTAAAAGTACCTTCAAATTCAATTCCTATGGAAATAATGTGTTTAAGAGTCTTAGAAATGTAAAAAGTGGACTTGCTAGACAGCCAGCTATTCTAATAGCAAATCTTCCAACCTATATAGAAACTGTATGACAAAAGTAAACCATTTTATTTTGCCATTTCATAAAATCAGCATTAACAGTACAAGCATACACATGTATTGCTTCACTGCTTTATTTTTGAAATCACAGGCAATTCAAAATGACCATCACTGAGGCTAAAAGATCTCCAGCAGAGCTGACCAAGTTTCAGGATTAAATAATATTGCACTTTAAGATGAATTAACTTTCAGCATCCTCATCAAAGAAGGAAAATATTGCTCCATCTGTGCTTTCCTTAGTCTAAAAGCATACTGCAGAAAACACTACTTTAAAAATCAATCCTGCAGGATGCAGTAACATAGTAAAGTACCTGCCTATTTTAGAATCCTAAAGGACATGTCATTGTAAGAAATTATTTAGCCCAAAATAAGTATAAAGTATACACAGTATTTTTCCTTTTCCTTTCAGTGGTCCAAGATGCGAAGGTTTCCAGATACAATCTTGTTTTCTAATACTGCTCCAGGTGGGATGTCAATTCTGTCACCATGATTTGCAATGATGATAACTGTTCCCTAAGTAACAGGGAAAACACAAATCAAGAGTATACTCAGAACAGCAACTGAAATGCAATTAATTATCTTACAATTAACAAGCTTATGTACAACTCCTTTTACAATGGAGCAAATATAACTATAAACACTATTAAACAGGAAAAGCAAATAACATGTTAAGGAAAATTGGAGTGTGTCCTGTAACAATCCTGGTAGTACTAGATTTCTCACTTCCTTGTCAGAGGTGATACCAAGAGTGGGAGGTAGACCTACTGCCATAGCATGACTGGCTTTTTTCATTATCCAATCTTCCTAAAGTAAAGGGTGCTTGGCTTCTATTTACATATAGGGTTTGGTGGGTTTGTTTTGTTTTGGTTTTTTTTGGGTTTTTTAAAAGAACAGTTTAGTAATAACTTTTTTCATGTCCTGAGATTTTAAATTAGGCAGTATAAACAATAAAGGTTAATACATATATTTTGTTTTTTCAAGATACTCATTTAAACAAGTAGTTTTAATGGGAAGATATGAAATGTAAGTATGAGATTCTTAAATTACTTCATTAGGAAAATATTGTATCTTCAGTTGTGAGTTTTAATACTTACATCCATATTTCTCTCCTATTCCTTATGCCAAGCTAGAAAAATACTCATTAAAAGCATCCAAGTACGACCTGGGTATGGTGGCTTCTAAGCTATTCAGGTGGCAATGATTGGGAGGACCAGTTTGAGGCCAGCTGGGGATGGTAGCACGTGCCTGTCTTCCCAGCTATGTGGGAGGCATAGATAGGAGAATGGCAGTACAGGCTGGCTGGGGCATAAAGCAGGACATAAATCTCAAACATAAAGCAAAAATGCTATGGGCCTGGCTCAAGTGGTAAGTAAGTGCCTGCCTAGCAAGTGTTGAGGCCCTGAGTTCAGACCCCATACTGCCAAAAACAGTACCCAAGCACAATAGTAATGGAGAAGAACACTGATGACAACAGATTCCTTTAATAGAATAGACCATGTTCAATATAAAGGAATAGTCATTTTTTCCTATTTTCATTCAAATAGTTATCCCTAATGAGCTAATACTAATAGTAACCCTATTTTAAAGACTGTCACATTTCAATAAAATAGTAGCAAACTAATGAGAGCTTGCGTTCTGATTTGAATGTTATATTCCACAAAATTTCTATATAATCTTTGATTTAACTATGTTATATATCTGGATATAATAATACTAAATACTATGACAAGCTATTTTATGTCTATCTACTCATTTAAAAAGTGTATCTTATAAACACTTGGTTCAAACTAAGAATTCCTTAAAGGTAAATCTGGAACTGGAAAATGAAGGGTGTTTTATAAAGCTATAAGAAACACATTTTCATCATAAAAACATACCTTTAATGAAACATTTTTGCCAAATGTCACATCTCCTGAAACTGTGAGGTGATCTAACTCAAGCATATCTGGTATGCTTTCAAATCTTCTTAGATAATCTTGAACCTTTAAGTAGAAACATAAAAACTGTTTCAGAAATGGGTTCACAGAAAAAACAAGAAGATAATTTAATCTATAAAACATTTTAGGGCCAAGCTCAGTTCTCAGTGGGAAGAACCTATTTATTAAATATTCACTTTATTTAAGATCCTATGCAGAAGAGAACATGAGATATGAACAGTGTCCCTACAGTCAAGCTGTTTATAATACAGCTGAGAAAAGATATTAAAAAAAAAAAAAAAAAACAGCCATGTTAACAGCCAGATAAGCAGTTCACATAGTCTAGATTTAATTGGAGAAAGGGAGAGAGATCATCATAGTTTGAAGCAGGCTAGACTGGAGATGGGCTTTTTATGGGATGGGTAAGTCAGAAGTGGAACACACTTCAGGAAGAGCAATAGCACACAATTATAAATTATCACTCTCTTTGCCTCTTTTTTCCTTAGATTTACAAACAGAAGAGTTACTGATACGACCTTGTTTCCTGTTTTACCTCCTAGCCCATTAATTACCCCTTCCTTCCTGTATTGGGCTGGACTCTTTCTACTCTTGAGTTAAAGCCAACCTCTCCCCTTGTGCATTACATCCCTTCTTATGGCTTATTTAGGAATACTGTTCCTGGGAATCTCTCTTCAATATTTCTTCCCTCTTGACTGCGTCAATTCCCATCAACATAAGAAAATGCTCCCATTATTTAAAAACAAAAAACTTCAAATCTTCTATCCCTTTCTACCTATAGCCTAATTTCTCTTTAAGGTGCAACTTATGAATAGTCATCTATGTCATCTCTCCAACTCCTCTTCCCCCATTCTCTCTTAAATTCATTCCAGTTGGACTCCCATACCTCCACAATGGTAAATTCTCATCTTACGTGAATCAGCAGCAGCATCTGACAAATGGTTACTCCTTCTTTCGTGCAACATGTTTTTCATCTGACTTTTAGGACACACACATTCACAGTTTTCTTCCAAATTCCTCATCTGCAGGTGGCACTAAATTGTATCTATGACTAGACTAGACTTGGATTGCATAAAAGGACTCTACAAGCCAGCCACAAAGGCTCAACCCTGTCCTTTCATCAACCCTGCAACATTTATGTGATTATTATGTGGGGTTTCAGTTATGGTACAGTGGGGTTTTGTTACACTGGTTATTACTCCTGCCTGGAAGGATACCTGCAAGGTACATTCACTCAGCGCCTTAGGCTGTTTGTGGTCACCCAATGTAAAATTATGCCATCACTGCACCCATTCGTCTTTATTCTCCTTTCCTTTTCTCTATATTTTTCACTACATTGAATATATAATTGATGTATATGATTATTATCTGACTTCTCCCCCTAGAATGTCAGTTTCATTAAGATAAGAATTTGAGTTTTCTTTTCTGCTCAATCCCTATACCTAGAACACTGCCCAGCACATGGCAGGAGCTTAATAAATATTTATTAAGCCAGAATTAGCTTTTTTCCACTGATGAAAGCAGTATTGGCCTTGAAAAGACATTAAGATGAAATGTCCACAAGTTCATTCTTTTCAACTCTCTAACTTTCAAAAGCAAGGTACAGCTTTGTATTCTATAGTCAATTCCTTTGAATGGCATCAGAGAAGGAGGGTACAGTAACAGGTCAGTAGTGAATGTAAGATGTCCAATTCACAAGCATATCTTTAATTACCTTTATAGTTGCATACCTTTGTAAAAGAACTGCCTAATTTAACCAAGGGCACGGTAGGAAATTCCCGCTTTTCACTCATGGTCAAAGATCCTGCATTAAGGCTATAGAGGTTTGACATCACAAGCAAGAGGTCTGATGTGGTCTTAACAGGCAGAAAACGGCTCCTGGGAACATTGATACCTAAAGAATTCTCAAAACTTTTAATTGCAGCTCCAACTGCAGTTTCTAACTGAATGACATTCAGGCCTCCATCCAAGGTCTGTAAGAAAAAGGAGCAGGGGAGAATCAGACAAAACACAGGCTTTAGGTATCTACAACTCACAGCTTAGTTCCTAACTAAGTTCCTAATGTACGCTAGTTAATTTTTGGGAAGTGGTTTCAGAGAACCATTGAAGGAAATACAATTTTGAGAACTGACAATTATCAAGCACCTACCGTCTTCCAAGCTCTTTTGTGTGTGTTGTGTGTGATCTTTTCTCAGTCTCATAACTCTTCAGTTCTGTAATATTTTCATTTTACATTAAAGAACCAAAGGTCCAGAAAACACATGCAAGATGCCTATAGCCAGATGGCTATAGTGTCAGAGCAATACCTAAGACTGAGGTAGGTCCTCTACTTTTCATCCCAGTGCTCTTGCCACTCCCCCAGCCTAGGGACAAATAAAGGGCATACTACAGTGATGAATGCGGACTCTGGAGGACAGGGGTCAGGAACTGGAGAGAGTGACCAGAGAAAAAGGAGTGAAAGAACAGACCGGCCAGGGGGAGTGAGCAGTGGGGTCTGTGTGTAGCGTACTATGATCGTAGAGAACCAGGCAGCCCAATGGGCTACAACCTTGGCTTACCTTTGGATTCACAATGATTTCCATGTCAATGGCATTCTGTTCCTGCAGTCTTTTAACTGCTGCAAGAGAAATCCATAGGTTGTTTGTGTTAAATATTTTAAATTTTGATACAGACTTGAACTCATCAACATGTGCTTTTGGCACTTGAGCGATTTCCACCAGTCTCAGTTTGCCTTCATACTGAGTGAGTGTCCCACCCTAGAAAGGCAGAAAATAGTGAGTGCTTCCACATCTTTCACAATCACAACCATACCATACTGCTTATACATTTCATAGAATTTTATAGAAAAGACAATGATAATATAATCTTATACAAAGCAACATGTCTGAAGGTACAACCAAAAAAAAAAAAAAAAGATTGAGGTTATCATTTCACAACACAAACCCACTGTCTTGTCTATAATTAAAGCCCTAGGAGTATACAAGAGGCCTCCTTGCTTTCCTAAGGTCTGCTATGGAAATGTACAATTCTCTTATTCTAAAACCACTCCCTATCATCAAACTGAGGTAGTCCTACTACTTCAGGCCCTGCTCTGACTGGCCCTAGGATAAGTGGAGAAAAGAGCAAAAATACACACAGGGATAGTAAGTAGCCTCAGGTTAGAGATGTTCTGACAGCCACTAGGCCATGCCAGTGGGAAGAAAGGAACTTTTCTGAGAGGTAGAGGATCCAGAGCAGGGGCTATTTTAATATTCACAGAGTGCTCATTCTTCTTACTAATTGTGGATAAGTAGTAAAATCTGTGCCATTTCAAAGGCCAAGTATCACCCAAAATTAATTTGTGCTTTGTACCAAAACAACTACAAATTTTTGTAAATACTATAAATTCTACAGTGATAAAACAAAAAATATGTTTTGTAGAATGTTTTCATTAAGTGGACAAAATAAAAGAACACATAAATGCCAAACTAGAAGAATTAGATCAAACTGATTGAAAAGTGTTTTCATGTGTTTCAGATGTATTCCCCAAATATATGTGGAACTGTTTTCAATTAAAATTATAGATTACCCAAAAGTAAAGACGATTTTAATTCTATTAATTCTAGGTTTATTATATATACTGTTAGAACTTAAGGTGCTCCACAGAGTACCACCTCACTCTCTTACAATGGTGTTAAGTATATTAAGATAAACATACTGTGCTTAAAATAGAAACTTGCAAATCAGGGGTCAAAAGGCTTTAATTATATAAACTATGAAATGTGAAAATATGAATGCCCAAATTGCTTCCTCTCAGTATTTACCTTCACATCTGCACGAGTTTTATTTGTGACTTCCATGACAAATTCACAGCGTTTCCCATTAGGTGGGTTCATTAGATGATTAAGAATATAAAGATCCACTGTGGCACCCAGATTATCTATGTTAGATACAAAAATATACTCTTTTCCTTCTCCTATAAAGGTATCGAGCAAACCAGAGTTGTAGAAACTGGCATAGATATCACCATGACCTGGAGGGTACCAAGCTTCTGTATTTTCCCCTGAGTAAGATACATCCTTTGCTACAGGAAGTAAGGATTCTTTATTAATCCTTGGGTACCTTAAAAAAGAAGAAAAAAGTTATTTTGCAATACCAACTCTGTAGAGTATTCTGGAACTTTAAGTAAAACAATAAAGTTAAATAAACTATCCCTCCTTTTCAGAGTCTAGTAGCTTAATTATAGGTGAATCTACTTAAGAAAATCTCTCATCTGTGTTGCCCAAAATCTATTCTCTAGACAGTAATATTTGCTGTAAAAAAAAAAGTTTTCCATGGTCATACATATGGAAAGACAACTTGTATTTTTTAGATATTTGTTTCTTATGATCCTCCAGGAGGAGGGATATATTAAGTACATTTTCTCAAATTTATTTGGTTGGGAGATGGTTCTTTTCCCTGAAAACCTATCTGGGGAAAGATTGCCCATTCTTACAAACAGACACATTCATGGGTGGTTCTTCCTCAGGAAAATCAGCAGCAGATCAACACCCAATGTCTGCTTCCCAACACCAGTGAGCCACAGGTAAGGGCTGGCCATGGGGAGAGGAAAGCATAGCAACAGCCTGAAGGCCAACTAGAAAATGGAGGATAAGCATCTATGGTGGAAAAAAAAGTGTCCATGGGAAAAGACTTTACAAACACAACCAAATTATTTCAACTTTACACAGGCTGGTGTCCATCCTTAAATGGAAGCCTTATTCCCCCAGTTGCCTGGACTTTGTCACAATTCATCATCTGAATTCCTTTCTGCTCACTCTACCTTCCCCAAAGTAGATTATTTTCTCCAGAATTTATTAAATTGCCCCCCCAGGCCTATTCAGGATGAAGAAATTTCTTCCTATAGGAAGGAAGGTTACAATACTGCAGACTTAGACTTTCCCAGACTACCTGAAGACCATCTGTGGCAAAGATCCAATAAGCTATCTCCCAATACTGTGGACATGAACAGAACCTAAGCATATTTTCCTTTAAGAAATGGAAATTACAGAACCAAAAAGCATTTTGTAACTATTGCATACTTATTAACAAACATTCATCTTTTAAAGGACTCAAGCACATGGCAACATTGATCTTTGGCACAGGTACGTATAGAGGCTGCCCTCCTACAAACAAAGCAGCACAAGTCCCTCCTCAGAAGTAATAGCCCTACAGTTAAACCTTAAAATTCCTTATACCTGCTTTGATTGAAAGTGTAGATTTTCACACGACAGTGATTATATTTCTGCAGTATTTTTTTTGTATCTTCATCCGTGTTAAAAGAGTTCATTAAAACAAGAGGAACATCTGTATTGTAGGTTTTGTTCAAATGCTAGGGAGGAAAATGACAATCATTACCCAGATTTATGTTTCTTTTGTTTAAAAATTTAAATTACCTCTTCACAGTCAATCACAAATTATCTAAAACCTGATTTATAAGGGTGTGTGTGTGTGTGTGTGTGTGTGTGTGTGTGTGTGTGTGAATACAAGTAACTGCTTAGCATGAGCTAGACATTTTGGTAAGCATTCGCTATGTACTTATTTAATAAATTACAATCTTTTGAGACAGAAAATTATGTCTACATTTTGTGACTGACTAAACTGAGGTCCAGATTGGTGCCCACAGGCAGTCCAACTCTGGTACTGTCTACAGAGCCACAGTGCCCTGTGGTCCTGGGGTGGACAAGTGCTGATTTAAGCATTTACTCTTATGTTCCAAGCTCTGTGGGGATGAAAATACAAATGTTAGAAAGCCATGGTTTCCTATTCTCAGGATTAATGGTTAAAAACTCTCACTCCCTCCTCAGTTGAAATCTTTTCAATCCCTCAAAAGAATGAAGAGATGCCGGGAGCTGGTGGCTCACGCCTGTAATCCTAGCTACTCAAGAGGCAGAGATCAGGAGGATTGCAGTTCTAAGCCAGCCTGGGCAAATAGTTCTGCGAGACCCTATCTTGAAAACCCTTCAGAGAAACAGGGCTCAAGGTGAAGGCCCTGAGTTCAAGCCCCAGTACCACAAAACAAAAAAAAAAATAAGAGGCATCACAGAGTAAGAAAAGAGATCCTTAGAAATCAAACTGTCCTGTGTTCAAGTTTTTATTCTCAATTTGTAACTAGCTAAGGAACCTTGGACAAATGACTTAACTTCTCTGTGCTTTGGTTTCCTCATCTGTAAACATGGATGGTAACTGTACTTACTGAGCCACTGAGAGAAACAAATGAGTCTATTCATAGAAAGAGCTTAAAATACTTGGTGCTAGCCACTGCTGTTGCTAGTGTTATGACTATAGTTGCCAGCCATGTAGTACACAAAAGGGATACAGAAATGGAGGGTAGGGCCACTACCCCTGAAGAGCTTAGGGTCTATGATTGATTACCCTGTCATAAGAGAGAAGCTCCCATGGCATCCAACCAGATATGGAATAACCTCCTCAGCTTTCCAAAAAGAGGTTAATAAAGCCACATCTTCCCAGTGTCATGAAGGCTGCCACCAGAAAGAAAGGGGCTAAAGGGGGTGGATTAAAGGAGAATCTGAACAGAACAAGAGATTTCAGTGACTACAAATACTACTTAAAAACAAGCTTTTCCATCAGCCTACAAACATGCCCTTAAACCGTTGTCACACTAATAAAAACTTAAAGATAACATGCTCACTGACCAGCTCAAATTCTCATCTGCTATACTTAATAATATAACATTTATGACAACCTAAAAACAAACTGTTTTAGCATCTCATGAGAAAGTTACTCACTTCAATTTGCTGAACAGTCAGATCCAAAAACGTATTCTCATTCCTCACACCAATCAGACTTTTGGGGCCTTTGCAGCCCATGCTGGTTCCCAAACCACCATTGAGTTTCACCACCACCAGCTTGTTCAGCACAGAAGATACATTATCAGGCAAGCCTCTGGCCTTTATCTTTTCATAAGGTTGAATCTGAAAGGAAAAATAAAATTGTAGGAGCAATTCAAATAGCTTTATGAGAAGTTAAATCAATACCAGAATTATTTCCATGCTTCTTTTAAAAATTTGGGTTTCTCAGCCAGGCATTGGCATGCCTGTAACCCTAGCTGCTGGGGAGGAGAAAATCAGGAGGATCTTGGTTGAAAGCCAGCCCAGGCAATAGTTTGTGAGATTCCACCTCCAAAATAACCAGAGTAAAACGGACTGGAGAAATGGCTCAAGTAGTAGAGTGCCTGCTTTTAAGTGCGAAGCCCTGAGCTCAAACCCCATCCCACCAAAAAAAAATTTTTTTTGGTTTCTTGGGTGGATGGAAAGTTTGAACTATATTTTTTTAATGTCCTAGGCCCTTTTAGTTCAAAATCAAATGCTTATAGGTAATTTCCCAGGCACTCAAAAGGAGTTCAGTGGTTCATTTGCATTACAATGGAGTAGCAGAAAGGGAAAAGGTTGTTTTCTACAAACAGTTGTCTGGCTGGTAGGAACATCCGAGTCTTGGATTATCTTCAGAACCTCAGAATTTCCTATTTGAATCAACACAGAATGAGATACACGAAACTCAACAAGTTTAAATGTTTTTAGTACACTATGACCTACTTCAGCTCTGGAGAATACTGAACAATACATTATTCCTCCTACCATAGGAGACAAAACCAAAACACACTTGTTTTTTGTCATTCTCCTCTATTCAGTCATGTGACTGCCCCACAGAAGATGGCGGGCAGAGGCTCTCTGTCAGATTTCTAGGCATGCACAAGGACAAGTCCTTCCTCAAGAATTTAACTCTAGGCCAGACATTGGTGGCTCACTCCTGTAATCCTGGCTACTTCCAAGGCTGAGATTGTGAGGACAGCAGTTCAAGACCAGCCCAGGCATATAGTTTGAGAGACCCCCATCTCCAAAATAACCAGAGCAAATGGACTGGTGGTGTGGCTCAAGTGGTAGAGTGCCTGATTTGCAACAGTGAAGCCCTGAGTTCAAACCCAGTGCCACCAAAAAATGAAAAGAATGTTATATAAATGGAATCATTCATGTAACCTTTGGAGTTAGTTTTTACTTAGCATAATTCTTTTGAGATTAATCCATGTTGCATTCATCAATAGTTTGTTCCTTTTTATGCCTGAGTAGTATTCCACAAGTGTGGATGTACTAGCTTAATCATTTACTTCGAAAGCACAAAGACCTGGGTTCAAACCCCAGTCCCCTCCCCTCCTAAAAAAAAGCATTTAACTCTCAGGTATTATTCTATAGAAAGCTATACTGGAAAATTAAATGTCCTCATTGTTCCAGGAAATGCCTTGGGAAGGTGGGAGAGAAAGCAAGAGCTGGGGCTGGAGAAAATTCTAATTCAACCTCCTCCCTAGGACCCTCATCTATTTCTGTGACAGACAGCTTTAAAACTTTAATTTGGCCCTTATAGGAAAGGAACAATACAACAGAGACCCAATTTTCATTGTTGTTGTTCAAAGCAAAGTATAAGAATTTTATCACAAGAATGAAGGCTTCTTAGAAAGATCACAATGTATTTTCTATCTGTTCATGAGACATTTTTTGTTGCTATTTTGCTTCAATGGAGTAAGCCTCAAACAGATTCATCAGTTACATCACAGGAGGATAGATATCACATGAGAGGACTTAAAAAAGAAAGCCAAGAAGTGGGTGCACTGACAGCATCAGTGTCATTTGTCCTGCTACCTGTATGGGTGTGTATGTGTGTGTGTGGATAGAGACAGGTAATGTTTGTGTTTGGGAAAGGACTTGATGGCTTATACTCCAAGTGTTCTAGGCCTTAAAGACAAAAATCTCTCCAAGGATGGCCTCATGACCCTGCTGCCTCAGCCTCCCAAGTGCTGGGATTATAGGCATGCACTACTGCAACTGGGTACAAAAATCTCTTTATCATTTGGTCAAACAAACATCCTAAGTAGATTCTGACCATATAATTTTTGCTTTTAACAGCTGTTTCCACAAAACATTAGTCTGTAACTCTTATTTCCTCTAATGTCCAATATACTATACTAAATACCAAGTGTGGATTCCTTACTTGGTGTAAGTATTAAGGAACACAAAGCACTCTTCTCCAAGGCTCTTTCCTGGTTATCCCCACCCTCATTATCTCTCATTCTGAATTATTTCCTACATGAGAAGACTGTCAGCCTGCCCCATATGTATGGCTAAGTAGCCTTCAGCAGCCATCCTTATCACGAACCAAAAGAAGAGCTGGTGACAGAACCAACAGGCGGAGACAAGCCTGTGGGCACTCCAAAGAGTGCTACCAAATACCAGGACTCTAACTGCAAAGGAAGACAGAGTGGTAGAAAAGAGCACAGATCACAATGGTTGCTTTCCTGGCAGACCATGGTCCAGTGGACTGACACTCCTCGAGGGACATTATAATTTAACTCTACTGCTATGAACATCAATTTGTTCAGTGTTTCAAAGAAACTGCTTGGGAGAAAAAGTAAGCATTTCAGTGCCACACTGCTAGAAAAATAAGAGCAGATGACAGAGCTGGAACCTACTGCCACCCTATTGCAACAGGTTAATTCGTAATCTTTTTAAGCCAGTTGAAATCAGCTGGTCAATAACGGGAACTGGATCACAGTGCCGTCAAGATGTCCACCACACGGCCAGGAGACTCTCTCGGACACATTCTATTTCCTCAAAAGAGTTAGAGAATGGGATCAAGACTATTATTTTCTGATTATTTCATAAAAGCCAAAAATATCCATTCAGCAGTTAATTTTCACTTCCCAGCAAGAATCTAGTATTTACAGAGGTCTCACAAGGGTATTAAAAAGTCCCTTAACTGAAAACCCATGATTCTTCTTGCATTCATTTTAAGTAAAATTGTTGGTTTAGAAGTATTAACATTTAATACTTTCAATATACTTAAAAAAAAAAACATGAAGCAAATTTTTTCTACTTGGTGATACATGCCTATTTTTCAATTCCACCTTAAAATTTTAATTGCAAAACATCATACATATAAAAATAGACATACAGTTAGAAGAATAACATTTTTTAAAAGTACACTACCGTAACGTAGAAAACTCCATGTACCTGTCCCTGATCACATTCCTCTTCCATTCCTCAGGGTAAATGACATCTGAACTCTTTATTCTCTATAGTTTTAAAACCTATGTTTATATCCCTAATAACAATATTTTACTTAATTTATTTCTAAACTTTTAAATAAATTGAAACATAAGGTATATACATCAATAATTCAAATAAGGCACATCAAGGGGATGTGTTATTTGAATTTTCTGTTTCAAACAGAGTTAAATATCATGGAGATGTAACTTAGAGTAAGAAATTCCATGTAACATTAATATCTTATCAAAGTATAAATGCTTATTATTGCAAAGGAAAATGTCACATTAAAGATTTTGAAAGATATTAATTTTATATAACATAATAAATGTTTCCAAATATTTCAGGTAAATAAGTTGGGAAACATGAGAATAAACATAAAAATTCAGTATTATGAAAATATTCCTTTTTCAAGCAGACAACTGCTAAATAATAATGCCAGGCAGGTAACAGAAATTAGATTGCATCTTAATTCTAACTTTAATGAACTGTTTGGTATATCAGCATTCACAGCATTAAACAAAAAGCTCTAGAATTCATGTTTAATCTTTAGCTACTTAATTCTATTTAGGTCCATTTTGTCAAGAAAAAATACTAACAGGAATTTTATATCTCTTGTGAAGATGAATTAAAAACCAAATGTCAACCTTGCTGCCAGGAGAGAAAGGAAAAGAAAAAAACTTCAAAACCATGCACATTCATGATAAGTCATCTTTGATCTACATACCATGAGGAATATAAAGTTTATGAAGAAAAGTATTTGAAGATGAAAAATTATCTAGATCAATTTTCAGTAATCAAACTTCAAAACATGCATTAGAAAACTTTGATAAAAGCTTGGTGGATATGTTGGCACATACCTGAAATCCCAGCACTTGGGAGGCTGAGGCAGGAGGATCTTGTGTTCAAGGCAGGACAGAAAGTTTTGATAAGACAGTTCCTTATAAAGGGGTCTAATGTAGGGAATGGAAAACATGCAGAAATGATTTTGAAGACCATCAACCTTTTTAAGTAGTTGGAAACAGAATTCTTAATTTTTTCTCAAATTCTGAGTCCTAGGTTCGAGGTTCCTTAAAGAAATATGTTACTGGGAAGTTTTATTTCAAATTTTAGTTACAGAAATTAAATGTGCTCCTTCCTGTCCTGAGTCATACAGACACGATCAGAGTCTTTTAAGTAGGAAAGCACGATGTATTGGTGAATTCAACTCTGCTAAAAACATAACATCTGATTAAAACAATATAAAGTAGAAGCCAGAAAAAGAAAGTATTATATGCAGTTGTCAGTGACAAACGGTGACGCAATGACTCATCGATCAACGTTTAATGCTTCATTCAGACTTTTCAACTACTTGCTGTGCGCTAAGAGATGGGCCAATCTCATCATTCTTGTCCCAAGACAAGCTACCAGAGAACAGTTATTTCCGTGAGATGTTCGCACAAGATGGAACAGCAATTACTATGTTTTACATAAGCTGCTTGAACAATAAGTCCCAAAGTTATGCTTTGGAAGTAACAAAACCAACACAACAGGACTTACTAACAACCAGTAATGGCTTATTGGTCCACTTGTCAGAATCTATTAAAAAGTAACCAACCCATGTGACCTGAGCACGCAAAGAGTTCTTAAAAGATACAGCTAAGAAGCCACTTACTCTGCTCTAGGAAAGATGGTGAAATTAGTGTTTAAGCATTCAGTGTTTAAACAAAAATTCAGAGACACACTTTTTGTCTTGAAAACCACTACTCCACTGCTGAATTTCCAGATCCCAAATCTAAGATCTTAAGTGACTGTGGGAAGCAGTAAGTCTATGCGGACGCATTTTTAAAAACACAAAATAAAGCAATATAAATAGGAAGAAAACAATATAAATCATTTAC